TTCCTCCGGTGGAGGGGGAGAAGGGCTGCGCTCCTTCTCAGAAACTTGGCGCTTCTGCTGTTCGGTAGCGTGAGGGAAAAAGCGCGAGCTGCGAGTAGGCGCGGCACGTGCATTGGACTCAGTAGTGACAAGGCCATCCGCAGGAGTATCAAGCTCGGTCAGCGGGTTTGATGGTGCAGCAGTATCCTTGACATTGGAATGGGTTCTCTCAGTGGTCTTAATGACCTTGCGCGAGCCGTCCTCGTTAACTCGAACCTGATTCCAAGTTTCGTTGAGGATGATCGGCCTCGTGATTCCCTTCTCGCGCTTTTCCTTAAATTGAGCCATAAAGTTGCGGGCATTCTCGGCCTCTTGTTTAGCGGCAACCTCATGGAAATTGTTCCAAGCCTTCAAAGCTGCTGCGTGGTTCTGCTGCTGTGAGCTCGGGGGTCCGATAGGACGAGGGCGGCCAATAGGAGTCATCTTGTCAAGAGAGGGGTGTTTGGTCTCAGGCGATGGAAGAGTGGGAGCGTTTGGCTCTTGAGGGCCAGCGAAGTTCGGGGCGGGCATCGTTGCTTGGTCTAACCCGAGTTGACTGCGTAGAGGGACTTCGCGTGATGCAAAGCCCAAGGGTTGATCGAAAATACCGTTGCCGAGAGTGAGAGTGCGGTCACTTCCCAAAGGTTTCCATGGATTGTTGACAGAAGGAGGATTCACCCCAATGGTAGGGTTTGTAGACCAAGGTGAGTGAGAAACGTTCAGATTGGCACGCCACTGGGGACCGTGCTGCTCTTCAGGTTTCGTGTCAGCTTTGTTCTGAGCCGGGGACTGAGGCTCGGTTTGATCTTGAGCTCCAGGTGCAGAGGGAGGGTCACGCTTCTGTTGGTTGGGTGACGGGACGCGTCGGGGATGATGTTTCTCAGAAGTCCGATCACGATCATGCGAAGCCACAAGTTTCTTGACAGAATCTGGATGATGCACTTTCATCATACCATACTGCTTGGGTTCGCCGGATGGCTCAGGGACTGGGGGCTTCGGAGGAGAAGATATGGTGGGGGCAAGGTGATGAGGAAGTTGAGAGGGGGATGGTGGGGGAGGATGGTGAAGAGGAAGAGGTTGGTGGTGAGTGTGAGAATAAGAGTTGCGATTTTCCGGAATCTTCTTCTCTGGCGCAGGACCCATCGCTTCGAGTCGCTGTCTTATCCTCTCCTTTTTAGCCGCATCCTCCTTCTCCTCTTGCTCGATTCTGCGCTGCCGCGCCTCTAGACGCTTCTCCTTCATGATACGCTCTTGCATGGCAACAGCATCCTCCTGAGGTGCTTGAGGAACCGGTACCTGTGCCTCCACGGGAGAGTCACCTACATCAACAACTGAACGTGCTGTCCCGTTGGGCCCGTATGGGAGCATCTCATCTTTGCCGTGGGGCTGCTCCCGATCAATTAAGGCTGGATCTCCCATTCCATTCACCTGCGAGCCTCTTCGAGCATCGTTAAATCTCGGGGGTGCATCAGGTCGGCCAAAAGACATTCTACGACCATACCCTCCGCTTCCACCGCTCACATTTGACGATGTTCGACGACGACCCCAACCCGGACCATCCTGGTGGCTAGATCTGTGCGTTTGGAATGCAGCAGATGGCTCGGCGGGCCCGCCTGGGTGCTCATTCGCTCTCTGCAATACAGCAGGAGCTCGAGGATGCTGGTCAGGACGCCAAGATGGTCTCCGGGTGTCTGCCACTGGCTCGTACCGGCCAGATCGAGAATTGTAAAGCTCCCGAGGAGCACCTGACTGGGTATCTTTCCATGTGCGGTTGAAATCGTCCGCTGCAATCTCCTTTGGTGGCAATTGGCCGTGATATCCCTCGTCCCTTGGACCGTGAGAATGGCCCATAGGCACACGCGGCTGGTGGGGAGGAGCCTGCATCGGAGTACTGACTGGAGAAACTCTTTCGACGGGTGGTAAGGTGGCCCATGGCGACTTGGAGGGTGGTGCTGGGCTTGTGGAGCTCGATGGGGCTTTGTCATTTGGCCCCTTAGACGAAGCACTTGCAGTTCTTGCCTGACGTTCAGCATTTGCCCCCAATTTGAGAATGGTGGGGTTTGGCCCGATTGAGGTGGTTGGCTTCGGTGCAAACTTAGTAGGCTCTTTCGTGGCAGGCGGTTGTTCTGCAGATGGCAACTCCTTGGGCTCTGGCTGATTGGGAGCTGGTGGAGGGTCAGTGTGAGTAAGAGTGACCTTCGTTCCATCTGTCCACTCGATCGTCTCGGGGGCCCAATCATCTTCGTCGTCATCGATATCCGCCCATTTCGCTTCAGAGCTTACGGCGCCATCTTCTTGGATACGCGAAGTCATATGAATACCGTATTGCTGCTTCAACTCTTCGTCGGTCAAATGCTTCGGTGGAGGGGGCTGGACAGCTATACAGATATCAACGTCAGCTCAAGTGTCTCCCGCTCGGTCGAGAAAGAACATACGCCGATTTTTGTTCCAGACCTGGTTGGGATCAGGCCCCGATCCACCAGTATTGGCTCCGCCTGCTCCAGTCTTTGAAAACGAATCACGCATCCCGGCGGTAGTCTTTGCGACAAGTCGTGGTCGAGAGCTTGGCTGCGGGGTACCGAGTGGTGTAGTTGAAGCTGAGGGCACTAAACAGGTCAGTGATAGTCATGAGACAATCCTTGACAAAGAACATACCTTTCTCTGGTACCTTAGGAGGTGTTGGAGCTCCCGCAACTTTGGGTACTGAGAACTTGGCGAAGGAAACAGGCTTAAATGACCCTGGCTTTTTGACAGAGCCACTTCGCGCATGGTTTCTGCTATCCGTTCGACTCGCATCAGATTCTGAACCACCTTGTGACGCTGTATCATCGCCGCCATCCGATGCTGATGCAATTCCGTTTAGTTCAAGGACCCTTGTCGCAACAACTCCGGCGCCCTGTTTGCTATTATCCTGCGCCCAAGTCAGTAATCGCCTCGAGGTATTTCTAACAGCAAAGCTCACCGTCGCAGAGCCCACAGCATCTTTGTCGCTTCCAGTCCGTTCCCCTTGTGAATCAAGCATGTCGGTCGTCTCGTGGTTCTGCTGGTCACGCAAGCGTGAATTGTTTGATGTAGCGGTGTTCATTGCGATATGTTCGGTCTTCCCTGCGTCCCCTCCAGCAGATAGATTGTCGTTGGTGTTCGCAGGAACGTCGGAAGGCGAGGGCTCGCCGCCCGACAGGGTCTGATCTACCACATCGCGGCTGCTCTGCTCTGCCATAACAATACTCGAATCTATTCAAAGCAACAATTGCGATAAAATTAGCAAAGCGTTCTTGGCGATGAGAACATGGGTCCCGGGGGGCTTAAAAGGCAGCTGCCGATCGGCCATGCGGGTGTCCCAAGAAGACATACCTATCGTCAGATATCAAGGATCGCCACGGTTGCACTGCTAGCTCGACTGGTTGCACCCTGAAGAAGTGGGATTCTACAACCAGATATAAGTCGGCCAACAATCTTCGAGGGCTGATAGGGTAGCCGTGTCAAGTCGGTGGAGAGTACGGCGGAATCGGAAGGCGCGTGCGTTATGAGAATCCGCAGCGCAAGGAAGTCCCAGAGACGGGAGGAGGTCGAAGAGGGCGACTTTCTGGGTAAGGAGGGTTGATGGTACAAGAATAGGGAGGATGATACAAGATTCAAGTGTCAACTCGGGTTGAAGCTGAGGGTCGCTGTTTTCGGTTAGCGTGGCCCGGCCGAAAGTTATGAGGTGTATCTGCCCACACACCTTGCTTGACCTCGTCGGCCCTATTTGCGACTAATCGGAGGTTTGAATCGTTTGATATCGTTGCCTGCAGAAGGTGCGTAAGAGATAATACTTTCAGCATGAGGCTGCACCCCGTTTTAACGAAAAGTGAAGAAAGGGCCCGCCAGCTACGTTTCACCGGATTTAATACTCTACCTCTAGAACTACGACAGAACAAAGCGTTGTAAATCAAATATTGAAACACAGTGAGATTCTAAGGTTCTCGCTAAAACCAAGACATTCCCTTGCACTGAAACTGAGGATCCAGTATATACATCAGTCCTCCATGGGTTGGATCAAAGGGGAAAGCTTAGTGGGGGTGGTTCTTGTGGTGGCCTGTTGTGAAGAAAGTCAGATATAAGTCAGGACTCATAGATAGAGAGTATATATAGGCGAGTGGGAGAGCTTACGCAGGTGGAAGTAGTACTCCATGCTGTAACCCAGGATCAGGATACCACCAATGGCGTGGACAAGAGCTGTGCCGATCAGTATTTATGCGAATATCAAGTGACGCTTGGATAGTACGTACGGACACCGGAGGCGTTCTTGCCGCTGAAGTAGCGGGCCTGGTAGCGGCCGATGAGACCGGTGGGCTTGGCGGTAGGGGCAGGGCCACGAGGAAGGCCAGCGTAGAAGTTCACAACGCGCTCCATGCGGGCGGCATCCTGGGCGGCACCGATAGCCTTAAAAATGTCAGTTATGAAGGCGGGAAAAGATTGGGATTGAACGATGTCGATGGCTCGCACGAAAACGACTTCGGGGCGGGACGGGTGCGGACGGGGTGCGCAAAGTCAACGATGACAGCGGATGGGTAACTCACGTTGGGGGAGGCGACCTAGAATAACAATTAGCATCATTTGCCGAGGTGTATGGCCCAAATAGTCATCAATGAGGGTGTCCTTACCTTGGGGGGGATCAAGGTCGAGAGACCTCGGCGGGCGATGTAGCTCATCTTGTCCGGGCTGAAGGGTGTCAGAAATTGGTCGCACAGAATAAAGGAACTCTCAGTGAGTATTCGGAAGGCGGAAAGTCGTGGACTTACATTGATTTGCAGCGCAAGTGAACCAAAGAAAGCTGATGGAGGAGGAAGGAGGAACAAACCGAGCCCTGCGGGTGGTCGGAAGGCCAAGACCCGCTAAACCATATTCGGTGGTGTCGTGACTTGCGAATTGAAGGCAAACCACACCTTCAAGTGCTTCCCTCTTTGGCAACGACCATTCCCCACATCCAAGAAGACATAATGTCGCTTTTTAGAATTGGGGGTGCCGCTACCCTTCGCGCTAGCAGAATTGCTGCCCCTGTCAATGCGCGCTTCGTCTCCAATGGCGCCAAGGGCGTTCCTTCCGTGAAGACCACCCCGTCGGAGGCTCCCACCACGACTCACTCCGGCAGCTCTTTGATCAACAAGGAGAGTCCCTCCGAGGCTATGGCCCGTCACCAGCCAGATTATGAGGCCACCATCGACCACGGCACCTCGTACGACATCCCCTTTTGGCTCCGTCGCAGATCCTTCCACTAACCTTTTGGCGTCAATCCAGGCAATTCTCTCCGGTGCCCAAGCGTGTCATGGATGGCAGCGAGCCGGGTGACTCCCTCCCCGCCGCCGTTCTCTCCGGGGCCCCTACCGATCTCCAGGCCCGTACTGTGCGGTATGTTCTACAAATATCGAACCACATTACCAAGCTCTCACATACTAACTCTAACAACAGCATCTACCGCCCCACAAAGGCCGCAACTCAGTCTGGTACCTGGCACCAGCACCATTGGCGCATGGATTGGGATATCTTGCAGCGGGGTCACCGCTGGGAGAACCCTCTCATGGGCTGGCAATCGTCCGCCGACGGAATGCAGGGAACCAACATCAAGTTCAAGTCCAAGGAAGACGCCATTGCTTTTGCCCAGAAGCAGGGCTACGAATACTTTGTCCAGGAGCCAAACGAGCGCCGTTTCGTGCCCAAGGCCTATGCCAACAACTTCCTTCACGAACCCAAGAAGATCAAGCACATCAAGACCAAATGATTTGACCTTCGTGCTGTATAATGTACATATTTGTCAGTTTTCTCTATTGAATTCAATTTCAAGCTTTTCAATTTCAAAGCACAGAACCCGACCTTATCAAACGACGTTTCGATTAGAAAGCTAGAGGTGGGCAAGGAGAAGAGAGACGAAGGGGTGAAGTCACTTCTTCTATAAAATGACTTCGATGCCGGTATTTGTTTTTTGGAGGTGGCGGGGCGAGGTTGTGCTTGTTGTTGTTTGCGTGTATACCGTCACTCATTCCGATATTGAAATCCAGTATGCTATTGAGGGCTGCGTTTATCTGATTTAGATGATTGTTCCCTTGTTAGTTACCCGCTATCTATATGCTAGTCAGCTATGGTATGGCACTTTCTGTCTAATTCAAACTTAATCAAGCATATCAAGACCACGGGGTTATAGAGCAATAAGACACTCGAGATACAAATCCATCGATAGAGTTCGCTCTCAACTGACTGCTAATGATGGCTCGTTTACTGTACTGTGAGCATGGAATGAGGTGCCTAAAGCTTCTGACCGGCCCTATGCCAGTCTTCTGGGCTCTGATCGTGCTGTCGAACACACCGGGGCGAGTTGCTCGAGGACCAAACATCCGATATTGTTCAATATACAGGAGTGCTGGATTTATTACATCATTAGGGGTATCTAGGTACGCGGTGCCATCATAGATGCTTTGACACTGCAATGGTCATTGATTAGGGCAAGCTCGATCTATAGATTTAGGGCGGTTGTGCCTTGGGCTCTCTCTGGGCTTACAGTCTCGGTCTCGAATGACACATAACGTATGTTCAGTAATAGTGTAGATACTTCTCTTGTATTGAAATATATCCTATTAGAATTCTATTCAATATCTTATGGAAGTGAGATATATTTAGATTTGTTGCTACTGCGGATCTGCGGAAACGTGACCAAAATATATATCTGCAAACAACGGAGCTCTCGAACGGCAATCCAGAATATTTCAAAACCAGCACCCCTCAATCTAACCAAAAGTGTAATTGGCACATAAGCATGCCACCGGGAGCAAGGAGAACAGGAACGTACGAGCAAAAAAGTATGCGCAGCTAAAGCCTAAATCGGCCCCGCCACCCCCCACTCTAAAAATTGATAAGATCAAAAAGATTAACAACTTTTCATTTCCACCTCAGACCCTCCTTGTTCACCACACCTTCGAAATGGCCGCCGAAACAGATACCACCGTCCCTACCCTCCGCAAGGTTCTTGTCTCTGAATCTGAGCCGCTTGCGCGCCGATTCCGTGCTCTTTTCTCCCTCAAGCACCTGGCGTGCCTGCAGCCTCCCACCGAGCAGACCCTCCCCGCCATCGAAGCAATTGCCGCTGGCTTCTCCTCGCCCTCAGCTTTGCTTAAGCACGAGCTTGCTTACTGCCTCGGTCAAACTAAGAACACCGGCTCTGTCGCATACTTGCAGCATGTGGTAAAGGATGCCGAGGAGGATGCGATGTGCCGTCACGAGGCCGCAGAGGCGCTGGGCGCTCTCGGCTACGAGGACAGCTTGGACATCCTCAAGAAGCTTAGAGATGATGAAAATGAATTGGACATCATCCGGGAGACTTGCGACATCGCCGTCGACCGCATTCTGTGGGAGAACTCCGAGGAGCGGAAGGCCGAGAAATTAAAGCCTAGGTACGATTTGCGCGTCATCCTGCATATTGCGAAGATATTGCTGACATTATCATCTTGGATCTACAGTGACTTCACATCTATCGACCCTGCTCCTCCCATGCCCTTGGAGACCAGCGAACCCAACATCCCTGACCTGGAAAAAACACTGCTTGACACCAAGCTTCCCCTGTTCCAAAGATACCGTGCGATGTTCGGTCTGCGTGACCTTGCCTCGCCCCCAGACCTCCCCACCGCAGTTGATGCTGTCAATGCGCTCGCCAAGGGCCTCAAGGACCCCTCTGCCCTCTTCCGTCACGAAGTTGCCTTTGTCTTCGGACAACTCTGCCACCCCGCCTCCATCCCCAGTCTCACAGCCTCGCTGAGCGACCTGTCAGAGGCTGGTATGGTGCGACACGAAGCGGCGGAGGCCCTGGGCAGCCTTGGCGAGGAAGAGGGTGTGGAGGAGACCTTGAAAAAGTTCTTGAATGACCCCGATCAGGTCGTCAGAGATAGTGTCATTGTGGCTCTTGATATGGCAGAGTTTGAGAAGAATGGCGAGATTGAATATGCGCTGGTGCCAGGAAGTGCTGAGCCCGTTGCGACTGCATGATGGATATGCCAAAAAATTGTTTCGTGACGTCGTGACTTTAATACTCTTGTCCCGCTAGTTATACAGCCTTTCTCCAAAAATAGACCAATTTCCACATCGTTTGTACAATCCGAAAATTATCCAAACTAGTTGTTTGAAGTTTCCCTGTTGAGTCAGTCAGTATTAGCCGAAAAATATTGAGAGGATTCGAAGTGGGTTGGCATACTTGAAACCGCAGACACATCTGTAGAACACAGTACTTCCTTCATCAGCACTGCGCAGCTGCACTGTAGTCCAGAACATCTCCTTCCGCCCACACTCAGGACAATCACGCTCGATGATAGCTTCGGTCATGCGGTCTGCTGCTGACAGGGTCTGGACTGCCGATCGTTTGGCTCTCAGTGCTGATGGGAATGCGGAAGGCTTGGACTCGGAAACGGTAGTTTGGGGAATTGTATCTGTAAATTGAGGTTAGACACAAGTTCCAGATTGGAAGTACAATCTACTCACCTTTGTTCCGAGTGCCGCAGACATCACAGTGAAGAATCGCATCCGCATTGCCGGTAGACTCTCGTAGGAGATTACCGCAATCTGTGCAGAAAATCAAAGAACCAATGACAGACATGCTGATAAAAGCAAGGAAAAGCAGTCCAAAATATGCAGTAATAAAAAGAAAAAGAGCAAAGTGACGAACTAGACAGGCCTTAAGCGCAACGACTGAACATGCAACTTTTTTTTGGGTGCACGAGCCTCTGGCAGGCGGTCACGCGTGGCAGTAGATGTGCCGTCACCCATACGGAATTCGTGAACGCTCTCGACCGTAGCTAGAACAGCTATCTCAATTTTTCAATTTTATTTATGTTTGAATGACCCAGGAATGTCATAAGGAGTGTGTGCTATCTGACATGTCTCTCTCAGGAGCATGTCAACCTTCTTATGACCAGCGCCTACCTCTTTTGACCTAACCGCGACCATGGACCAGAATGGACGCCCGGCCGTCCAGGTGGTTATCAACGGCTATGACCAGACGCAGGCCTACAGATCCAACATGCACCTCCAGAATCAGCCGCGGCCACTGTCCGTAGACGAGGCATTAAAGTACTCGTCCATGTCCAGCGCGCCTGTATTTGGTCTCGGTCTGTCTACTCAAATCCTTTCCCTCAATGGCAGCCAACTAACCGATGGCCTTTTCGCGCAGACTGTATCATTCACCCTGACGTTGGGCGACCCTCAAATACCACCTCGATCAACCACGTACTACAAGAAGGCCGTAAGACGTTGGGCGGATTGGATGCGGAGATACAGTCCGGACAGGATGAATCCAGTCGTTTAGAGACGTCCCGGGAATACCTACAACAGTTGCTGGATGGAAATGAATTGACAGAATTGTGAGAATCCTTCGTATCTCTAAAACCGTCTCTCGCTCATCATCCTCAAGCAAGTTCAAGCTCCCCCGTGCCCCCGCTCGCAGTCAACAGTTACGACCAAACGCACCCGATGGAGCTCTTTCTGGTCGCAGCAGTCTAGGCTCTTTTGCCCGGATGATGCTCGATTCTACCGACATTGCATTTAGATGTAAGATCTAGCCCAGTACAGCTGTCTGGACTTGACCAATTGACAGTTCGATCTCAGATCCCGAAGCATCACCAACGACCAATCTCGAGAATAAAGACTCCACTCCGAAGACAGCTGCTTCCTTGAACCAGCGTGCTCATCTTACGAACAAATCGGTCTCAGCCTCCTCTGAGCCAACACGTGCTCCATCTTCAAGCCAAGTATCCGTGGTTATCCCAGCCAAACCCTTACCCCCTTATAATGGTCAGATGAGTGCGAAAAAGTCCAAATCGAAGACAGAAGGTGAAGACGCAACGGCGGCGGTGCGAATGAAAGACCAAAAAGCGGAGGCAGATGCAGCTCTGCTAAACCTGCAAGACTTCCTCCACGAAGTTTTCGAAGCAGAAGACCAAATGGAATCTAATACTTCAACCCACACGAATATCGACGATCCAAATCCCTTATTCGTGCAAACAAGATCATTGGAGGTGCAAGGAGAGGTGCTGTCTTCAGATGCCCACAGTCGCCTCCAGAAAGTCATTCGAAAAGTCGCGGGATTCGACCGACTCCAGGACATACCATCTGATTATCTCAATCGAATCCAAAAATTGTGCGAAAAGCCCATCATTGCTGCACAAAAACCTGATTTGAGCTTGAATGATACGTCAAGTGAGATTGAATCTCAGGAATGGCTGGGGAAGGTCGAAGACGTATTCAATGCACTTCTTGCAATCGGCACGTTGTTGCAGACGATGTCTGGACGCCAGACGGAGCGCGACCTCTGCCCTGAAGATCTCATCGAGGCCATTCCGAACGTTCTCAATCAAGTCTTTGACCACTGCATCATTCCTGCAGTGGAATCACGTCCTGGTGGCAAAGATGGCCAACACTTCCACTTCTTCTCAACCCAAAAGCGGATCATAGGAAGCCTTGTTTATCAGAGCAAGAAGGTCTTAACCCTCTTTGCAGACTTTCTGTCTCGAATTGATGTCTCCGAAGGCACGATCACGGCCGCTGAGTTCTTCGCCTCCAAATTAATCTTCGTGGAAAACGCCCACAATGACAAGGACTCTGCTTTGGGCCATCAAAAATACGAACCCGCAAGACGCGGTGCGATGGAGGTGCTTGCGAAGGTGTTTTCCAAATATCCCGAACAACGACCCTTCATTCTGGATGAGATCCTGGTCTCATTGGAGAAACTTCCGACCACACGCCAAAACGCAAGGCAATTTAAGGTTGCAGACGGAAAGAACATTCAACTTCTTACCGCACTTGTTTTGCAGCTTGTTCAGACAACGGCGTTGGAAACGCCCTCGCGACCAAAGACCAAACGCCAGGTCAAGACTCAAACTGACGATGACCATGACGAGCTCATGGGCGATGGTGAAGATAACACGAAAAATGAGTCAGATGACGACGAGTCGGACGAGTCGTTGGAACGCCTCGCAACCAAAGCCAACAGACTTTATGACAACGCCATGCGCTCTGCACAATACATCGTGAAGTTCATCGTTCAGCGAGCTATGAACTCAACGAAGACCGGTGATCAACCATACAGGAACATTCTCGATCTTTTCACTCAGGACCTGATCAACGTACTTGGATCTGCTGACTGGCCGGCTGCAGAATTACTTCTCCGGATCTTGGCATCTCACATGGTTGGCCTCGCTGATCAAGACAAGAGTCCAGCGACTGCCAAGAGCATGGCACTTGAGCTCCTGGGCTGGATGGGATCTGCCATTTCAGACCTGATAGCAACCGCTCAGCACATGCTCCCAGCGCTGGAAGATTCCGATTCAGAACTCACCGACTATCTCAAACAACAATTTGAGGAATTCAATTCCCGAGCATTGCACCCGCAAGATCTCATTGTGCCGACTGGTCCATATAGAATGGCACTCGAACACCTTTTGCAGGACAAAAATTCCGATAACTGGCAACTGATTAGCGCACGAGGCTACTACTTGGCTCAATGGGCCAAAACTGTTTGCACTCTTTACTACAACTCCGAGGACCAGGAGGAAATGGCACATGATGATGTGACCTATGACTTGATTGTTCTTTTGACGAGATCCTTTTCAGACCCTCGCTGGCTGGAGACCCATAAGGAATTTGATAACATTACCAATGCCCATGGGAAATTCGCCTACATTCTGACAGTCTTGAACTCAGGCTTTGGAAAAGCCTTTGACACTATTCTCAAAGTTCTCTTGAACTCTTTCACCGGTGATTCGGCCAAGGTGCGCAGCCGCAGTCTGAAAAGTGTTATCTACATGCTCGAGAAAGACCCGAACCTTCTTGATCGAGATGCTTCTGTCCTGCGCGTGATTTTGCGATGTACCACAGATGCCTCGCCCATGGTCCGAGACTCTGCCCTTCAATTGATCGGGCAATGTATTGCCTTGAAGCCCAAGCTCGAAGAAGAAGGTTGTCGAAGCATTCTCGCCTGTGCAGCGGATACTACGGCTGGTGTCCGGAAACGCTGCATTGGGCTGTTGAAAGACCTATACCACAAAACATCTCGGCGGGAATTGAAACTAGTCATCCTCGACAGCTTTCTTCAACGTACAGGTGACACTGAAGAGAGCGTGGCATCGTTGGCCCGACAAACCTTCGAGGAAATATGGCTTGTTCCATTCCACGACTCCATTGATTCATCTGATGGCCCGAAACTCAAGATTGCTCTTGGCGAACAAGTGGCCCTCATTGTCGGCCTAGCCGAACGCAGTGACACTGCACTTGATTCTCTTAGCATCTGCTTACAAGCTGTGCTTTCAGATAAATCCAAGTCCACTGCATTGAACTTCAAAGTTTGCAAGGCTATGGTTGCTACCATGTTCCAGAAACTTGTAGAAGAATCAGATTCCAGCAAAGAGTCCCAACAAGCTCTTTTACAGACAATCACTGTTTTCGCCAAGGCAAACGCAAAGCTATTCAGCCCAGATCAGTTGGAAGCTCTCCACCCCTATATCGGAAATCTTTCTACCACAGATGATCTTTTCATATTCCGATCAGTTGTGGTTATTTATCGTTGCATTCTTCCGTATTTATCCTCGTCACACAACACTCTCCTGAAGGAAGTACAAAATGATCTCTTCAAAATCATCGCCAAGCTTCCTCGTGGTGAGCTCAATGAAGTCATGGGCTGTTTGTGGACCATCAACGGTGTTCTACTAAACACCATTCGACTGGTAAAGTTGACACTCTCATTGCTGAGACCTCTGAAGCGGTACAAGGATATGGATCTTTCCTCGAGTGGGTATGCTGCGGATCTGAACCGTGCCACTAGTTATATCCGCATTGCAGGCTGTGTTGGGGGCCATTGCGACCTTGACAAGTTTGCATCGCATTTCAAGAACGACTTTCCGACATGGTCTGGTAAATCGGTGGCAGGGTTGATGGTTGATCTCATCATCCCTTTTTCTACAAAAGCTCAGCCCTTGGAACTTAGAGTTAACGCTCTCGAAAGCCTAGGATCTATCTGCCAATCATGGCCTGGCCAATTTGGCCGAGAGTGTACCCGGCAGACCTTTGCTCAAACTTTCAAGGAAGATGCTCCAAATTTGCAAAACCTTGTGCTCAAATCATTTGCAGCTTTCTTTGCTATCCACGAAGGCAAGTCTGAAAAAGCTGTCATTCCAACCGCAGACACCGCTGGCCAGGAAGATACAACTCGATTGGGCGGTTCTCTGAGAGCCAGTGACAATGACGGTGCCGCTGCTTTGATTGCCCAGCACTTCCTCTCCAACATGATACAGGTGGCACAATCGCGCCAGGATACTTACTCTTTGACTGCCATTCAACTTATTGCAAGCATCAATCGACAAGGGTTGGTGCATCCGAAGCAGTGCGCGGGTGTTCTTGTTTCCCTGGAGACGTCGACGGTGTCTGATATCGCGAAAGTTGCGTTTGATACTCACAAGGCGCAGCACCAGCAGTATGAAACCATGTTTGAGCGGGAATACATGCGAGCTGTGCAAGAGGCATTCTATTACCAGCGTGATATTGTTGGCGATTCGAATGGGGCTCGGCACCGACCTTACATTTCGAAGCTTGCACCGTTATTCGAGATTGTCAAAATCAGCAACAGTCGGTACCAAAAGAAATTCCTCTCAAACCTTTGCGCCAAGGTCAACTTCGAACTGAAGAAGCTTGATGTGACTGGAAACCCCCCGCAGCACCTCTTGCTGTCACGTTTCATATCACAGAACCTGGCATTTTTCGAATACGGCCAATTGGCTGAACTTGTGCCAACCATTTCGTGCATTGAACGCATCGTTTCCTCAACGGGCACCATCGTTGCACACGCTATCGAGACCGAGATCTCTCCTGCCCCGATTGGCGCGCCCCAGTTAGATAGCTCAAACGGAATGATGCCAGGATTTGCGCCTGAGATGCAGCCGTCGACATTCATGCCGCGACCAACCAATCCTGCAACCTTGAGATTACTGGCGACTGCAGCCGCGTCATTGTCAATGCTTTGGGAAGCTCGAACATACCTTCGCCGTGTTTACGGACTGAATGCCCATAGCAAGACTAACGGCAAACCTGCCGCAAAGGATCTCAACAAAACCGCAACCAAGGTGCATGGAGTGACCGGCGATAAGGTCTGGGAAGCTATCGCCAGGAATATGACCGCTCTAGACAGCGAAGAATCGATGCACCACAAGTGCCGCGAGTTTGCAACCTTGCTCTCCATCGACGATGAGTTCAGGGTGGATGCAGACGAGGACGCAGAAGGGGATAGTCTCGACGCCATTGGAGAAGACGACACGGGAACTGCCCTGACCGGCTCTCGGCCCATGAAGCGCAAGAACTCCGTCTCTAGCTCGAATCTCAACAAGCGGCCCAAGAGCCGCAAGGGTTCCACCGGAAGAAAGAAATCTAGTGAGCCGGACGACGAACTTGCTTGGGATTAATTCGCGTGCCTTATCCACATCATCATACAGGATTCTTTTTTATTTGCATGTCAAGCGAGGTCGGCGTTTATTTATTTTCCTCTGGTCATGGTGAATTCCACAAGGAGTGGCGTTTCTTTGTGTACTTTCTCTACCTTCGACCGGAATGGGGTGGGTGGATACCCTTACTTGCTTTCATACATAGCCTGAGCTTGGCGTGATATCCCGATATCCTTAGTTAAGAGTATATAATAGAAACCCAAGGATTCAATTCAATTGGCACAATATGAAGGTGGCGTCTTCTATAAAAAGTGGTCGGTGAATATAGAACGGGAGCTCGGCTTGTCGTATGAGACCTGATTCTGGATGCCGGCTTCCCGACCTGGCACGTGACTCCCTACTAGATGACGTCGCTGTAGCATCACATCCTTGTCTTGGTAGGTTTCTCAATTTATTTTATTGAGCTTTTAGTTCTAGGTATTTGCCAGGTCGCTCATTCATTCAGAGCACAGAGACGGGCCATGAGCTGCTTCGTCTCTGTTTACCCTCGCTAATCACTTCCCACGCTTCCCTTCTTGTCTGACAATGCTGAACGCGATGCTCCGGAACCGTGTGGAGGGCACCGCACTGAAAGCAATGGGGTCAATACCAGCTCGAATCCGTGTCTCAAAGGCATTCTCGGCTCCCCGACTGTCGCTATCCCGCTCGATACACACCCCTCGTCGCCGACCAGCCCCCCAATGGCGCGCCTTGGCACAGGTACCGACGGTCTCGGTGCCAATCCGATACAAGTCTGAACTCGCAGCCAAGCTGGGGTCTGCACGGAGATCGGCCATCGTGGGCGCTATGTACAAAGTTTTTACGTGGTGTGGCTTTGTGATCGTCTCTGGTGGTGCTATGGTACTCGCGTTCTTTATCTATGATGCTAGTACATATCGCGAAACGTCAACTGCAGCCGACATCCCTGTTTCGGAGTTGGCGCTCAATCCTCGGATTGGAGGCCCGAAGAACTTGCCTATTGCCGATTACCTTGTTGGTGACTATGACTCGGAAACAATGCTAGAGCAGAAGGACAAGCCGCGTCTGGTCATCCTGGGCACGGGTTGGGGTAGTATTGCGCTCCTAAAGAACTTGAACCCTGCAGATTACCACGTTACTGTCGTTTCCCCGACCAACTATTTCTTGTTTACTCCTATGCTGCCCTCTGCTACTGTAGGCACCCTGGGTCTTCGTTCGCTGGTGGAGCCCGTTCGGCGCATCATTGATCGGGTCAATGGGCACTTCCTCAAGGCATCGGCTACTGATGTCGACTTCTCTGCAAAGTTGGTGGAGGTTTCTCAGGTTGACAATGATGGGGTTAGAAAGAATTTCTATCTTCCCTACGACAAGCTTGTTATTGGTGTCGGTGAGTTATCTCGAGAACAAACAGTGTTCATCGCAAAAGTACTAACCTTATCATATCTAGGCTGTGTGACGAACCCGCATGGTGTCAAGGGCCTCGAGAATTGTAACTTCCTGAAGACAATTGACGATGCTCGTCGCATCAAGAACAAGGTCTTGGAAAACATGGAGCAGGCCTGTCTTCCTACCACCACCGATGAAGAGCGCAGACGCCTGCTTTCCTTTGTCATTTGTGGTGGTGGTCCAACCGGTGTTGAATTTGCTGCTGAGCTGTTCGATCTTCTCAATGAAGACTTGCTCCTCTCTTTCCCTCGCATTGTCCGCAATGAGATCTCTGTCCACATCATCCAGAGCCGAACCCACATCTTGAACACGTACGATGAGGCACTCTCCCAGTATGCTGAGGTATGCTTTCTATACGCCAGAGACTTTCTGATAGCCTTTCTAACATTGTTTCCTAGGGTCGATTCACTCGTGATGGTGTCGAGGTGTTGACCAACGCCCGTGTCAAGGAAGTTCGCAGTGACCGGGTCCTTTTCAGTCAGGTCGAAGACGGCAAGACCATTGTCAAGGAGATCCCAACCGCATTCTGCCTGTGGTCCACTGGCGTGGGTAAGTGCACTACCATCATGCATTAAACTACCTCCATGGCTTGCAATAACTAACACGATGTAGCCCGAGCTGAAATCTGCGAAACCCTCTCCAAGAAGCTGGAGGGTCAGAACAATAAGCATGCCCTTGAGACGGACTCTCACCTCCGTCTGATTGGTGCTCCCCTAGGTGACGTCTACGCCATTGGTGACTGCTCGACAGTTCAGAATAACGTGGCAGACAACATTATCCGGTTTCTCCGCACCATCGCCTGGGAAAAGGGTCGCGATCCCGAGAAGGTCCACCTCACCTTCTCCGAATGGACAGAAGTTGCCAACCGAGTAAAGAAACGCTTCCCTCAAGCCACTAACCATCTCCGCCGCCTGGACCTACTCTTCGAACAGTACGACAAGGACCACTCCGGTACACTCGACTACGGCGAATTGTCCGAGCTCCTGCATCAGATCGACACCAAGCTCACTTCCCTGCCTGCCACCGCCCAGCGTGCCAACCAGCAGGGTGTCTACCTCGGCCGCAAGCTTACCAAGATTGCCGCCGCTCTTCCTGGTCTCAAGGCCAACGAGATCGACTATGGTGACCTCGACGAGGCCGTCTACAAGGCCTTCCGTTACAGACATCTTGGAAGCTTAGCGTACATCAGTAACGCTGCCATTTTCGACTTTGGTGGTATGAGCTTCAGCGGTGGTGTCATTGCCATGTACCTCTGGCGTAGTATCTACTTCGCCGAGAGCGTGAGCTTCCGCACGAGGTGTATGTTGGCCATGGACTGGGCCAAGAGAGCTCTTTTCGGAAGAGGTATGTCTTCATCGTTTCCTGATTGATCTGCAAGCATTGCTAATATATTCCGTAATTCTAGATCTCATGAGCTTCTGAGCAGCTCGATATACTCCCCACCCATAGCCTGTCGCTGGCCGATGATGAGATATCAGCGATATCTCCAATAGAGTTTCTTTGCTGATACAGTCTCGAGCGAGTCAGAGAGAGACTGAGAATCTTTTGTCCTATGACTCCTGTTTATTTCCGAAAGTACCTACGCCTTCGACCTTGTTACTTGTTCTTTTGGATTTATCCTGTTGAACTTCATGCATACCTGTGGCTGTATGGATTTGTTACGTTCATTAGCTAGCATTTTTCTTGTGTTCTGATGCTTGCTGCATAAATGCATTGACTGTAATCTAGAAAGACACGTCAGTTGACAAATTTAGGCCGACGATCAAGCTTGTTCTGCTTTTACTAGACTAATTTAGGCACTGATGCCCCGAGGAGCGGGAAGAAGGTGGAGTCATTCAAGAAAAAGGAAAATATTCATTGTGTTGTAAAAAGGCTCAAAAGGCCGAACTGAAAAAACCAGCGATAGACATCGCACGAACGAAACGCCTAAGAATGAGGAACCAAGACGCCGCGCTAGAAAAATCAAACGTTAGGGCAGAAGTGGTCAGAGCCAGCATTTGGAAACCGGGCTACACAAAGACCAGATCATGATATCATTGGGTCAATATCACTGTTGTGAGATAACAAGGTGTCGGAAATGTTAGTAGCAAGATCATTACTGGATTTTTTGTGAGAATCGCCGACTAAGCCAATGTCCAGGGTGTCTGGAATGTCTCTCTTGGCGTCTCGGGCCTTTCTTTCGGCAAACGCCCGAAGTTTCACAAGATTGCGCAGACGGGCCTCTTTACGAGCGCCCTGACTCTGCAGAATGGCCTCGTTGACTTGGGTAGCGATATCTTTACGAAGCGCGGGGTCCAGAAGACATGCAAGGGACGGGTCCAAGTTGTCACTGGGGAAGATCAATAGGGCAAGTGTGCGCTCGAGGTCCTCCAGGAACTGGGGATTCGTGGGAGCACGAGGTGCAAGCTGCGAGGTCGCGAAGTCCAGGGCTGGGCTGATGTCGCTGCCTGGTACGGCCATGCAGGTGCGGATCAACTCAACCAATTGCAAGCGCAGCAGGGCAAAGTGCAGAGATGGGTCCTCATCAAGAATCTATTCAAGTCTTGTTAGCAATGGCACTTTGCAAGAAGTGTGTGAGGTGCTGATAAGATCCAGTTTTGGCTTTGCTCATACTGAGGACTGAAGATGTTTGTTTTTCTGCAAAACCCCGGAGGGGATTTAAGAGTGGTGCATGAAACTTGGTATAATCATAGCAAGAATAGGGGCTAGGAAATGTGGAGTCGACTAGTGGAAAAAATTTTCTTACCTGAGGATTGAGCTCGTTGATTTTTTCAACAGCCGACTGGATATCACCCGAGTAAATCGCAGTCCTGATCTCAACTCGCTCCTGGATAGACTCCAGGTCCGTTCTGAGTTGGATATTGGCCTCAACTGCGAATTTGTTCGCAGCGGCGGGATAGCCGTTTGTGATGAGGTAATCCATGACCAAATAGTTGATATCACTGTGATATGACAGTTAGCAATCGCTCGGACCCAACTGTTGAATGCAATATTTGCAGAGGTGACGTGAATCAGATAGACAAGTCAATTGTTTCTCCTCACATGTTTTCAGAGAGATTCCCAACTTGATTTTCAAGAACATCATGTCACGGGGCGGAGGGGGATGGCATCGGAGGTAACTCACGTCTTGGAAGGCTTGACCTCCTCGAGCTTCCGCTCGAAGTGATGCCACGTAGGCGTCGCAGTCGAGGGAGTTCGGGACATCTGCATTGTGTTAAAAGGCCAGCGACCACGGGTTTCACACCGAGAAGCATACAAGATTAGCCGACATTATGAGCGGGATGCCCAGTCTTGAATCAGGTCCAAAGCTATCCTCAAAGCTGAATGGTGACCCAAGAAACGACGGCCATGGGAAGAGGCAGTCGCTGTGTGGGAAAAGACCAGTTGGATGGAGGGAAGAGGAAGAGAGGCGAGAAGAAAAAGCTCGGAATAAGAGGAGCTTAAGCGAAGGTAACGCGCTAAGCCTAAGTCAGCGGATGACGAAGACATAAGTCAGCAACCTATGACCAGTAAGAGGTGTTGGCAGGAAGATGTCTCAAACTAACCTGGATTGGGCAATTGTATTACATAAGTATGCCAAGCCCTCCAGGGCTCTTATCGAGGAATTGCATTTCAATCCAAGTCGTATTGTACAGTGGGGTACGGTCTTAAGTGACAGTTTCTTTGACATGGAGTCGATCTCGCCTTTTATTTCCTCAAGCCCTGCGCCGCGGTATGCTCCACCATGGCAGGACTTGAGCATCATCGGCATCGCTGGTAGTTCAGGCTCTGGCAAGACCTCTGTGGCCATGGAGATTGTCAAGTCGTTGAACCTACCCTGGGTGGTGATCCTTGTAATGGTACAGCTTCTAAAAATGCATGGTCTTGATCTTGTTGCGGCTCTAACCTTCATTTGTTTAGGATTCATTTTACAAGACATTATCAGCCGAGGAGCACCTCAAAGCTCATGCGAACGAGTATGATTTTGACTGCCCGGATTCGATTGACTTTGATCTTCTCGTACAGACCCTGCGGGATCTCAAGAAAGGGTAACTTTCTTTTTCTACGGTCTAGGTCTTTGTTTTGCCTGACCAGATTGTACTACAGAAAAAAAGCCAACATCCCGGTGTACTCATTCGCTGATCACCAGCGGCAGTCCCACACGACCACTCTTTACTCGCCTCGAGTGATTATTCTGGAGGGCATTCTGGCGCTTCACGATCCTAGAATCGTGGAGATGTTGGATGTCAAGGTATGTGCTTTCTTCTCTGCCTGTCAAACAGAGCTAACTCGCCAATCCAGATCTTCGTTGAAGCCGACATGGATGTATGCTTAGGACGCCGAGGTGGGTGATGTTGAATCTTATTCATGCGAAAGGTCACTGACGGAAATATCAATAGTCCTTCGGGATGTCCGCGAGCGCGGCCGAGACATTGAAGGAATCATCAAGCAGTGGTTCGCTTTCGTGAAGCCATCTTATACCCGATATGTGGAACCCCAACGCCCCATTTCAGGTTGGTAGTCGTGTGACTGTACAATGGATTCAGGGAGTTTCCTAACCCTGATTTTCAGACATTATCATTCCACGTGGCATTGAGAACACAACCGCCATTGGTATGCATTCCTCGCGCCGCTACCTCTAATGACTTGAGGCTAATTCAATCTAGACATGGTGGTGAAACACATCCAACGCAAGCTGCAAGATAAATCCGATAGGCACACTGAAGAACTTAACAGGCTCGGTCTGATTGCAGCGGAAGTTGAGTTTCCTTCGAATGTACATGTTTTGCCCTCCACGCCGCAGCTCATCGGAATGAATACTATTTTGCAAAACCCAGCAACCGAGCAGGAGGATTTCATCTTCTACTTTGATCGACTGGCTTCGATCTTGATTGAGAAGTATGACACCCACATCCCGAAATTGGATTTTCTTTTACTCAACTAATACCGTTGCCAGAGCCTTGGACATGACATTGTATGTCTCCGCGAATGTGGAAACACCACAAGGAAACCCATACATAGGTTTGCATCCCAAGGGTACTGTATCGGCTGTCGCCATCCTCCGAGGAGGTTCGTGTATAGAGACTGCCCTCAAGCGATCAATTCCTGACTGTGTCACTGGTCGCGTGCTCATTCAAACCAATGAGTGCAGCGGAGAGCCAGAGTTGCATTACTTGAAACTCCCAGCGCAGCTCGAAGAACATGCCACAGTTATCCTCATGGACTCGCAAATGTCCAGTGGAGGTGCTGCACTTATGGCCGTTCGCATCCTTCTTGACCACGGAGTGGAGCAGGACAGAATCGTTTTTGTGACCTGCGCAGCAGGCGAGCGAGGTCTCAAGCGGCTGACGGCTGTATTCCCCAGGATCAACGTGATTGTTGGGCGGATTGAGGAAGAGGGAGAGCCACGATGGATTGAGAAGCGGTACTTTGGATGCTAAAGTTATCCAACCGCCGCTATATATCATGAGACCCTAGTACATACGCTGATCACGACATCTTCCGTGACTACGGACGCATTGCATTATTAGGAGTGATATTGAACAATGACAATACTTTACTTGCATATAATTTAAACTTCTCACCACCACGATAATGGATGCTGACTGAAAATCCTCGGATCGTAGCAGACTTGCCGTTTCGAGAACTAGACCCAAGGGTCTGACCGCCTGGCCGACCGCCGCGGCAGAAAAAAGAAATAATCTGCCGCTCGAGCATTTTCACTTGTTGAATTTGACGATCTCTTATCGATACCCAGGTCTTGGAAAAAATTGCCCTGCTCTCGGTGATATATCGTAGAGCTTAAAATGGCAGGCCCTGACAAGAAAAAGTCCAAGGCCGGAAAGGCCAAAGGCGAAACCGGCCCGTTGATCAGTACGTACAACCGAAGCTTGAGATACGTTCTAAAGAGCCCTATGGACCAGCATTACTAACTTTTTCTATTACAGCGGACCCTCGTTTTGCCAGCATCCAATCCGATCCTCGCTACCGTCTTCCAAGCAAACGCCAGACTCATGTCAAGCTTGACAAGCGCTTTGCGCACGTGCTAGATGATAAGGATTTCTCCCGCAACGCTGCTGTCGATCGCTATGGACGCAAGCTGGCAAAGGACGACACCAAGAAGCAATTGAAGAAGTTCTACCGCCTCGAGGACGATGACGAGGACGAGCAGAGCGGCTCCGACGACGAAGAAGTAGTCAAGAAGGAGCTGAAGCGCATCGATTCTGCCTCATATGATCCTGCACGCGATGGTGGCTTTGAATCCTCGTCATCTGAGGAAAGCTCCAGCGAGGAGGAAGACGAGGAGGAAATCGAAGGCGAGGTCGAATTCCCAGATCAGCAGCAGTCCAATGTGCCGCTAGGAGAAGTGTCGAATCGGATAGCAGTCGTCAACCTCGACTGGGACAATATTCGCGCTGAAGATCTGATGGCTGTCTTCTCGAGCTTCCTTCCTCCTGGTGGGCGTGTGTCGAACGTCACAGTATACCCTAGCGAGTTTGGAAAGGAACGTATGGAGAGGGAGGAGGTTGAGGGTCCCCCGAAAGAGATCTTCGCGCCAACCAAGAAAAACGCTGGTGGCGAGGATGACTCCGAGGTAGACTCGGATGATGAGGAGGAAGAAATCAAAAAATCAATGATGAAGGGCGATGACGGCGAAGAGTTCAACTCTACACAATTACGCCGTTACCAACTCGACCGACTGCGGTATTACTATGCCATCCTCAAGTTCTCATCTAAGGATGTCGCCAAACATGTCTACGATCTGGTTGATGGCGCTGAATACCTCTCCAGTGCCAATTTCTTCGATCTTCGCTTCGTGCCTGATGACACAGACTTCTCGGATGACAAGCCTCGCGACGAGTGCTCTCGAATCCCTGATAAGTACAAGCCTACCGAGTTTGTTACTGATGCTCTGCAGCACAGCAAGGTCAAATTGACATGGGATGCGGATGACAAGTCAAGGAAAGAAGCACAGGCACGTGCATTCCGGGGTTCGCGAAAGGATGTTGACGAGAACGACCTGAAAGCCTACCTTGGGTCTGACAGTTCTGACGACGAAGATTCAGATGACGAGGATGGCGGCGTGGAGGTTGTTGACAACACTGCCGGAGAAGCTTCAACTACGAAGCTATCCAAGAAGGAGGCTGAGAGGCAGCGCATGCGTGCTTTGCTGGGCCTGAGCGCCGAGCCTACCCGCACCAAGGCCGACGGCCCTGTTGGTGAGATGGAGGTCACTTTCACATCGGGTCTGGCTGGCGGTCACGGCAAGGATACCATCTTCGAGAATGAACCAGTGGTCGAAGAAAGCACAATCGACAAGTACGTGCGAAAGGAGCGTGAGCGCAAGAAGCGCCGAAAGGAGAAGCTCAAGGCTACCAAGCAAGGAGACGATGAGGGTGCCGACGCGGTGGACAGTGAAGACAACGAGCCTGCTCCAGCCGAGGTACAGGAGGAAGTGGAAGAAGATGCAGGCTTCAACGATCCATTCTTCGACGACCCTACTGGCAAGGTCACCTCCGCTGCCCGGCGCAAGGAGGAGAAGCGCAAGAAGCGTGAGGAGCGTGCCGCTGAAGAAGCGGCATCAGCTGCTCAGCGGGCTGAGCTTGAGCTTCTCATGGTAGACGACGAGAAGGCTCACATCAAGCACTTCGACATGACCGAGATCGAGAAGGCCGAGAAACAGTCACGGAAGAAGAAGGGCAAGGGCAAGAAGGGCAAGTCCCAGGAAATTGCTCCGGCAGATGACTTCCAGGTCAACGTCAGCGACCCCCGTTTCTCCCGCCTGTTCGACAGCCATGATTTCGCTATCGATCCCACCAACCCCCGCTTCAAGTCCACCTCTGGCATGAAGGCCATGCTGGACGAGAGCCGTAAGCGCAGACGCACTGGTGATGACGCTGAGGCAGAGGTTGTGCCCGAGACGAAGGAACGCCAGAAGAAGCAGAAGAAGGCTCCAAAGGAGTCTGGCTCGGAGGATCTGAAGCGTCTGGTGGATAAGGTCAAGCGCCAGTCGAAGGCATGAACATAAGCGGAACTGTAATGAATTTGGAGCTATTGCACTGGGAATCGGTGTATTGAATTGGATTGTGTGCATATATCTGTGGCACATTGCCAACAGTGACTTATACTATTTCTTAGTTCTACTGCTTGTAGTCTGTAAAAAAATGGTGTAGTGGCCTCTTAAGTATTTTCTCACGTTGATACCCTTCTATCATTCTCCGCATAACCGTGAGATTTCTCTCAAAGGTATAGGGCTACAGGGCTGTGCGCGAATCATTGGCTATCTAACAGGACAGAATCCTGTCATGATGTTTGGATGCCAAGGAGCTGCATGCGACTATAATAGTCAACTTAGGCACCAATAAATAATGCATGGATAATATATCAGCAGCTAAGATCGGCCACACATTGGCGGGTTCAATTGGAAGAATATAATATATCATGTCTGATATTCAGCTAATCCCCGGATAAAATGCAGGCAGAAGCGACAGGCCGCCTGATATAGAGAGAATAATGTGTGTCTTTGATATGATCGACACTTCACTCGGTCCCAGGCACACAACGCTACAGGCATGATGCTTGTCCTACGCGAGGTGTGATTCACGGTGTAGAGCTGTCATGTGGTCACTCTGGGTAATACATTGGAAAGAAATATTCTCCTCCAATCCCAAATTCACATCCGTCTCAAATAACAGCCACCGAATAACACGATTCCTTGCAATCCTTATGCGGTGACACGGGGACGGTCGAGGATAGTGACATGGTGGTCAATAGAGCCTCGTATGACTTGAGTGTAAGGCATTAAAGTTGAGTCATCGATGGTATCTTCGTTATAAGAAGAATTCAAGGATCGGAACTTCATTCAACAGACTAGATGAGTATTTGGGAAGATCTGATAAGAAGATATCCGGACATTTGTAGTTGATATGTAGTTGGAGTTGATTAAAGCCCAGATGTCACTATTGCTGACTGTGCCTTCAAACCACGTGATGATCCTCACCGCCTCTTCCGGCTTCTATCCACAGTTCCCCAGGCCGTCTCTCTGATCAATGACCTGAGTCCCTTAAGAAGCTGGGGATTATTTTATCTAGCCTGTTTTCTCAACTCTGAAAAGACTGTGGAGACTTGGTGAGAGCCAATTCCCAATTGCTGAGAGCCCCACTGCTGCAGCTCATCCCACCTTCCTTTCCACTCCCCTCTTCGGACATTCTCAATTCCCTCATCGCTTGATGATGGTTTCTGCTTCGTTGAATTAAGCTATGGGTGGATGCAGCCTGGTTTCCCTAGCTGTCTGCTACCCATCGTTACACTGCGTTATTTGATCAGTCCATTTTCTTCATCTGTTCTCCCACATTCCTGCAGGTTTCCCCGGCTATATTCATCATGCTGGGCCGACTCTTGAGTACCGCCGCGTCGACTCTAAACCCCGCGGCGTACTCAACACGCAACAATGGCACACTTCTTGAGTCCGTCACCGAAGAGGAACATACCTCCGGCCTTCTTTTCCCCGATGCCAGCCTCCTCCGACGTTCCAATACACATGCCTACCCATTGCAAACAACGTTTAATTCCCCGAATGCCTCGACCGCCGGGGCCTACGATGATCGTGGTGGAATGGAATTGGATGCTATCAAGGATTTCCGGGTGATCGTTGCACAGAATGCATTAGGCGACCGTGATGCGTGCGTCTTACTTGACACTCGTGCATCCGACTCCCCAACCGGCCTCGGAATCGATCCACAAGGCAATGATCAGTTCGGCCCTAGACATACGCGTGCAGTCTCTAGTCTCTCCCGTGGGACACGCCGCAATATTCTCAACCAATCGTCTGTCGTAGAATCAAGCCCTCTCTCCGTTGCTGCAGATGCACGCAGGTCGTCACCAGCAGGTGCCGGTGCTTTCTCTCGGGCCCGAGGTCGGAGCTCAACGCTGGCACCATCGGCCACCTTGCACGATACAGGTCATTCTCGACATTCTGCCGACTCAAACGACACCGGTCTCCTGAATTGCATCTTCGGCAGCAGTGCGTTCAGTTACCGGGGATCGTCTACAAAAATGCACATCATCTCCGCTGATGATGATACGGGACCGGGCATTAATGCATCATCACCTGCTTCCCGCAGTCCACTTTCTCGTGCCTATACCACAGGCAGTCCATCAGGCCTGATGGGAGCAGGTAGAGGAGTCGACAACAAACCACCTTCCAAAGTCACAGTCCTCTTGACTCGCATGTTTAGCGTGAATCTTCCCGAAGGAGCCGAGGCATCCGCTGAGCGACATGACTATGCCAGCGCTCTTTACCAGGAATCTTTGCCTGAGATGGGCGGCTTCCCCTTCCCGGATGTTTCCAAGCGCAAGAAAATAAAGGAAAAGAAAACGCCAATGTACGCTGTTGCCATCACAATTCAGATTCCTTTACTCGCACGCAATCCTGGACGACCTGTTTCAAGATTTAGCACGCTTGGCCCCGATTCCCCTCGGCCTGGTTTCTCAAGCTCGCTGGACTCAGATCACCGCTGGCCAGGCGGATTCTTTGACGATAGCTTGTCTGCAGCATCCCCACCTGCTAGTCTGGATGAGCGACTGGACTTGCTCGTTGATCATTGGGATGTCATCACTCGTACACTCTCACATCTTGAAAGACTTGCTCGGAACGAAATTCTTTTCCTCCTGAAGAAGGTGGACTCCTTGTCGGGACCGCACCCGAAGCCTGCTAAACCTCCTAATATGCAGCGGACTAACCAGACTATTGTGCATCTCCCCGCCAACATTCTATCTGTCAATTCGAAACTCAAGGAGGAGGCTATCCGCAGCTCTCGTCGGATTAGCTTGGCCCTTCAAACTCCATACGTGGTCACTGGACAAAGTCGATGGGGCGTCTGGCGGGAGGAAGGCCGTTCAATTGTCCGTGGGTTAGGCGACAAAGAGCAAAATTTCTTCTTTTTGGTGATCCTCACAGCATTCTTGGGGAACCACACCGAATGGCTCAACACTCTTGGCCCCGAGTGGTATCGCCGGCGCCATAATCTGCAGCAGAAATCCCAGCAAGATGGCGAACCTATACTTGCAAACAGAACAGTCATTGTCTGCCCAGACAAGATGACTGCTCGCCGCCTTGTCTTCTTGCTCGCCGCCTTTTTGCCATCTAAACAGCGTCTGGAGCCGTTACCTTCGCCGCTCAGACCTGGCACATCAATTTCAATGCGTGCTATCTCCCAAAGCCCACCCACAGTTCCTCTACTCCGCCAGGAGTCCCTTCGCCGAGCGATTGAAAGACGAGCTCGTGCCAACCGATTACATATGGGCGAAAATGATTACCATCGACGATCAGTGAGTGTTTCATCACAAGATACAGCGCAGCGGTCGTCGGATGGCGCCGACATAACTCCGCCGGCGGAACCTTCTACGGCCTCAGCCCGCAGAGGTTCCGATGCTCGGTCGATCAGAACCCTCGGCGTAAAGAATCCTGTAAAGAATCCTCCAAAGGATCGAGCTAAGAACACCAGCGGCGCAACTACCTCTATGATTACTCAAAGCAGCACTGTCCCTGTGCCCCATTTCACTTCTCAGCCAAGCAACTCACAACAAACTGCCGCAGCTGAAGGCAACGATAGTCTCGCGTCAGAGACCTTGCTGAAGAACCTCCAACGAAGTGACAGCTCTGTCTTGACCCCAAATGGCAGTTTTCCGTCAGCCGGAGGTCGCTGGGGAGGTATCTTCTCCGGTCTTTGGAGCTCTCGGCAGGAGTCATCCGCTGAAAGCAATGAGCCCTATTCTCCAACTGATACTCGCAAGAGATCTGTCTCTACAATTGTTGGTCCTGCTGTGCGTGGCCCCACTACTTTGAGTCAAATGGTCAAAGAAGTCACGGAGGATGAAGATGATGAACAACGGCGCAAAAACGCCCCCAGTGGAAATATCTCCATCCCCGCTGCTGCTGCTGCTCACAATGATGAGGCTGGCTCGCCCGAACCGTCATCACTAACCAGCCAAGTCCGCGAATCACCTTTGAAGATGTCAGTCCGCGCAGAGGAAGGTGTGGTAGACATTGATCTTCCCCTTCCAGGATTCATGTCACTTTCTTCCTCCGGTGATTCTACTGTTGCCTCGCCGAAGAAAACTCGTACGTCCGTCACCAGCATGGATGCAATCGCTTCCACTCACAGCAGTGGCTCTGGGTTCCACGGTGTTGGGAAAGATAACGATGGCCCTACTGCCCATGTAGCTGGCTGGTTGAAGTCATTCCATGAAGATTTCTCGCTTCAAGCAGTCCGGCCTTACGCCTCCCTTGAAACAGAGATCAAGCAGGCCATGCGGGCCGAACCCTCTCCATATATCCCCTTCGCAACCGATGTGGATGGATCAGAGAGATGGGTCGATGTCGCCACAACCTTGATCGCAGACACTAGGGCCTCAACAGTGAAGCGAATTCGATTGAGACGCAAGGTCACAGTGGGTCATGACTCGCCCACACATACCCCAGCTTCACCAGCCAATGGCCTTCACTCGGGCGGCGCCCGCCACACCGGTGGGTCTCGTTCTTCACAGTTCTCTGGCTTCTTCAACGGACCGGACAAGATACCCGAAAGCTCTGCCGCCGAAGAACAAGATCAAAGCTTTGTGGAAGAACGCTTCATCGAGGAACCCGTGATGGACCTCGACGGTGTTCTCGTTGATGCCGTCGAGCGCGTCTTGGGCCAAAGTGGTCACTCGTCTTTGGCACACTCGCGTGCTCCATCTCCTACTCGCGCCCGCAAAGCTGAAGACAACAAAGCTCCTCCCCCACGCACCGATGAAGCCCCTCCTCTCGAAGTGCCTCGTGGTGAATGCCGCAAAATGGTACTTGGGGCTTTGGAAGAAGTCGTCCGCATCGTTACTGCCGAGCATTGCCGTGAAGATGTGGATAGCACATTAGGACTTGCTGATCGTGAACGAAGGAGAGCACTTGCAGGTGCTGACAATACATTGCGTGAAGGAATTCGGAAATGGCTCCTCGACGTCGAAGAAGCCTGGTGATACGCTTTGCCTGGCCTCGAACTTTCTACCTTTGTTTTTTCTTTTCTTTCTGCATGGTACGTTTCTCGCACATTTTTGCACACCCCTTTCTTCTTTTTTCTGCCCAATGTTTGTGTCTCGGTCCTTCTCTGATCCCGGTCCTGGGCCTTTGGTTTTCGATTTGCTTTCCTTTGCTTTTTTGGTTTTTCGATGCTTGCTGCATTGCGACCTTTCTCAACTATGATACCCGCTTCTCGCTGAAGTATAGTTCTGTCTGTGAAGGCTCATCCTTCACATTTTAATATGACACATTTTAATATGACACTTGATAATTTGACTCCAATGACATTATGTTTCTGCAATCTTCTCTTACAGAGGAATTAAGCAACATAGACCAATTTCACTGGATGGCCACTGGCTTCGACCTTCCCATCCGCAGCAGGAGAAAGCTGAACGGTCTCCAAGACCTCGTCCGTCTGAGCTGAATTGACAATCTCGATCGTGGTCTCTCCCTGCAAACGACCATTGATCAGCAACTCAACTCCTGACAGCGCATCATCTTCAGGAGCCTTGATCGTGGGATTGACAACAGTCACCGACCCCGGGCGAATCAAGATAGGCAAAGTATCAAAGCCATGAGTCTCAGTGTACCAACAACCGGACTCATAGGACTTTGAATGATCAAACCACGAAACCCACTTCCCAGCCTCATCATCCTCAGACCTGGGCACATAGAAAGTAACCTCACCCTCCTCCGAAAACACCGGCGCAACCAATAAATTCGGACCAAACATATATTGCGTATCAACAGCATAAGTATTCAAATCCTCAGGGAACTCCAAGAAGAGCGGCCTCATAAGCGGCGTTCCATCCCGATGCCCCCTCAACGCCTCCTGCAGAATATACGGCGTAAGCAAGATCTTGCGCTTGACACAATCCCGCAATACATCCGAACAATCTTCGCCATAGATCCACGGCACACGGAACGAAGAAGATCCATGCAAACGCGAGTGCGATGACAACAGCCCAAACTGCACCCATCGCTTATACAGCGCCGGTGGCGGCGTCCCCTCAAACCCGCCAATATCAGATGCCCAGAATATATACCCGGACAGCATCAGGCTCAGTCCACCACGCAGTGACTCAGCCATTGCTTCGAATGTGCTCTCGCAGTCGCCGCCCCAGTGCACGGGGGATGCCTGTCCGCCTGGTGCGGTACTGCGCGCGAAGAGGAGACCCTGGCTGCGTCCGACACGGGTGCTGAGAGTCTCGTAGACGATTTTGTTGTAGAGGAGGGCGTAGTAGTTGTGCATACGCTCTGGGTCCGCGCCGTTGTGGTATTGGACGCCTTTGACTGGGATGCGCTCTGCGAAGTCGGTCTTGAAACTGTCCACGCCCATTTCCATTAGGCGTTCTAGGTGGCTGTTGTACCATTTGCAGGCTGCTGGGTTGGTGAAGTCTACTACTGCCATTCCGGCTTGCCAGAAGTCCCATTGCCAGACGGAGCCGTCGGTGCGCTGGTATGTGTCAGTCATATTTTTCTTCCTGTTTTGCTTTTGCTTTCTTTGCTGGCCTGGGATGCGTACCTTGATGAAGTAGCCGTTCTTCTTACCCTCCTCGAACAGCGGTGATGCCTGCCCTACATATGGGTTGATCCAGACACTAATGCGCAGCCCACGCTCTTTCAACCGCTTGAGGTATCCCACGGCATCGGGAAACATGTCCGAGTCAAAGTCGAAATCACACCAATGGTACGACTTCATCCAGAAACAGTCAAAGTGGAAGACGCCCAGTGGGATATCACGATCTCGGAACCCATCAAGGAACCCAGTGACAGTTTCCTCGTCATAGTTGGTAGTAAAGCCTTGAGAGCGTCAGCATATACTTCCCAGACATTCCCAAAAGCAAACAAAAATCACAACTCACTGGTAGTCAACCAAAGATTATAACTCCACGACGGAACAAGGCTCGGCCTTCCAGTGAGAGAAGTATACCGATTAAGAATCTCCTTCGGCGTAGCCCCGTAAACGACAAAATACTCAATCTCCTCCCCAGCAACAGAGATATTTACCCGAGTAGTGCGCTCAGACTGCACCTCCAAACTGACCTTTCCAGGATGATTAACAAAAACACCATATCCCCTCGAACTAATATAGAATGGGATATTCTTGTACGCAAGTTCAGAAGAGGTGCCACCATCTTCATTCCACATATCAACCACCTGCCCGTTCTTGACAAGAGGTCCGAATCGCTCTCCTAGGCCGTAGACCTTCTCGCCAACGCCCAGGTCTAGTCCTGCAAGCATGTAACCCTGCTTCTCGGCGTAGATGCCGTCTTCATAGCGGTGCTTTTCGCTTCGTTGGTCGCGCACGTAGCCGATTGAGCGGAACGATTGGCCGGTTAGTTTCTTGCCGGTTGGGGAGCGGAAAATTAGGTCTAGTTCGTTGGCGGCGGTATTGATGTCTAGATCTAGTGGTCCGCTTTTGTAGTTTAGTTTGTTTTCTTCTTTGTTGTGCTGGATGGCGATGTGGTCTTTGCTGGTGTTGAGGTGGTAGTGAGGGCCGTTGTCGTTTTGACCAGCCCTGATTGAAAGAAATAAGTATATCGTCTATTCTAAGAGCTAGATGGCTTGTTCATATCTTACCAATGCACAAGTTTCACACCGACGATTCCCTCCGATGGAGAGGTGATTTGGGCGGAGACAGTTGCTATAGATCTCTATTAGCTTACTCTTCTGAAATAATCGTATCGGATACATACGCGAGTTAAGGGTATCTCCTCGGTGTCTCTGAAACTTGTTCAACAGCAGATTGACCGACTCGTCTTCGACGGAAAACCTCTCTACATTGCTCATCCACTCAATAGCAACTCCCTCCTATAGTTCCCAGGTATTAGCAGATATCCCATGGTACGCGCCTCGATAAAAAATCAACCCAATTTACCTGCAGACACCACATTCCCGCAGTGAACTTCATCTTGACAAAAAAGTATTCTGGTAATCCCAATTGAAGGGCGAGTATTGGAATCCAATGTTCAGAGACTCCGGATGGCTACTAGATCAGCGAAAACCCAGTCTCTCAGCTTCACAGATAACAAGAAAAGCAAAAGAGAAAAGAAGATGAACAAGAGGGGAAACGACTAGAGCTCTATTTGTTTCACCAGGAACCATCGGCTATAGCTTGAAATGCCTCATTAGCCACGGACGTTCGTCCGTGGCCTGATTCCGAATCAGAGCCCAGCAAGCACCTGGGAAGATCCGCTATTTCGCTCTGGAGCTTGGGGTAGCACGTAAGGCGGGGCAGTTGTTCGGGACTTTTGATGTATTCTTGGCTGGTATATCCACCAACCAGCAGTCAGGGTTGGGATATCGGCTGAAATGGAGAGATCCGGCTAAAAGCGTTGTGGCTTGTTATTAGCGCTGGGGGGGTGTGCTGTACCGGGATGGGATTTTTCTCGTTAAGATCTGGACAGGGATTTGGGATCAGTCTATAGGTCATCTAGATTCTATGTTGAGGTTGTATCATTATATGAATATCTCATGACTAGACTTGCATTTCATTTGTGAACAAATCTATCAGAACAAAATTGGGTATCTTTCATTACATCAAAGGTCGCAGACTCCCACTTCTAGGACTACCCTTATAGCTAAGACTTTCAGCACGAGCCCTAGCCCGCGTAATTTCCGGCGATTTCAATCCCTCACGCGAATCATGCGTCACACGAGACGGCAATCCCGGCGGCGGCGAGATATGATGACTGACCACACTAGCCGGAAGCTCCAGTGACGGGATCGACGCATCCATCAGGTTCGTAGTAGCAGGCTCCACCTTTGTCGAAGCGGGACGAACATGCGACTCCGAGTAGAACTGCTTCAGCTGTGCTTCATCGCTGCAGAACTCAACCAGGCCGTTGAGGATATACTCTGGGGCGCGATAGAGGTTTGCAGAGTCGATGCTCAAGGATCCGGATGCGGTCATCGGACTGCCAATGTCGTGGACAGGTCGTGTAACCGGGGACAGGCGAGGCGAGACGCGATCGAGGTTATCATGGGTTGTCGTTGCGCGGCCTCGGAAGTCGGGTCGACTGTGGTCGAAGCGGCCTGGGTCCCGACCTGCTGTTCCGCGCGTGCTCACGAGTCGGTTGGCTAACAGGAGGAAGTTGCCTTCGTTGGTGATCTGGGCTAGGATGCTGCCTGTTCGGTGGATGAATTGCGGGTACAGATAGTCTGGCTTTCCCCATGAGTAGGAGACTTCCACGTCTGCTGGGAATGCGGAGCATGCTTCGAAATCTAGGACGAAGTCGAATTTGCGCAATATTGCCTTCTGGTAGTAATTGGGGTCGGGGGGACCCGGTTGCGCGAATGATGCGTTGTTGAATACCGTGTGGAGGGGCGCCTTTGGAGGTGGGAGCTTCAGCTTTATCTCGTAGGGTTTGCGGAATGGTTGGGTTTTGTCGATGGCGCAGCCTTCGGCGATCGGTACTTGGACTAGCTTGAGACCGAATTTCTCGGCTGTCGAGGCCCATGAGAGTACCGTGTCTTCGATCAGCTTTGGGGTCGTGCTCATCCAGCTGAGCTCGATATGGAAGCAGTTCTCGGGATTGTGCAGTCGGTCATAGTGGAGGTCGATGACTTCTGGCCGGTTGGACCGTTTGCGCGGATCGACATCATATTTCATCGATTTGGACAACATGATGGCAACTTTGTTCTTGGCTTTGGAGGGAGTACTTGGTGTTTGCGGTATGCGCTCATCGATGCTGTCTGATCGCGCATGGAGACTAGTAGGAGAGTCTTTTGCAGTTCCAATCGCTGGCGTTGATGGCATCGATTTATCTGCTCTAAGCTGAGGGAACCAACTCCCTCGAGACTCTGGACGAGTGACGCGGTAATCGGCACAGACCTGGTAGAAATAATTGCCATCTCGGAAGTTGTGTCTCTTCTCCACATGCTGGAACAAACCATGCTTCATCAACTCATTTCCAAACTCGACTGCTTCTTCGCGGGTATCAATATCACGCAAGTTTTGCAAAAGCCAGGTGGTGAATTCAAAGCCAATGAAACAGTTGTAGTGCAGTCTCCAATGCCACCGTCGATCCATCATCCGCACACCTTTCTCGCCTTGAATGATTTGCGCTAGCGATGAAAGACTGATGCTTGATCTCTCCAGCAGTTCCGACTCTGGTAAGAGCTGAGCTGGGGCATTGTCAAGACCTGGATCAGTGAGAAGCAATCGATCCAATTCTGCTGTAACAATCTCTGATGGATTGCGTGTTTGGTACATGATGTTGAGGGGGTTTTGATCTGTCTTTGGGTTCGATGTCTCGAAAAGCTTTTCTTCCGGCGATACATACTTGTACCGTTGCCAGATGTGTGTCAGCTGGCTGATACCAAGCAAATGAATTTCTTCTTCGTTGTCCTCATTGAAAGACTGCAGATGGCGCCGCGAACTGGGATAAAGTTGGAGCGGAATGAGCACATAACGAACTCGCCAGAAATGCAGTTGCTGTGCCGGATTCTGGAGGTAGTCTCGGTGACCAGCCACGTAGTTGTCGGCATAGTTCCAATTGTACTCTTCGGCGGTTGGATCCAGTTTAATGTCTTTGATTTCGTATTCCGGGCTTAGAATTGTCTTCATGGCCGGTTGGTAGAGAGTGAAAGTGGTCTTCTTAGGGCATATGAGCATAGCAGAGTTTTGATGGGTGAATCGTGTCACTTCCACCTCTCCTCCCTGAACGCAGACAAGTCGGTGAATAGTGTTGCCCTTAGATAGGAACACGGTCAGGCCGTCTCGTTCTAGTCCCCGAGAGTCGAAAACGTTCAATGACTCAAGGGCGGGCTGTCCTGATACTTCGGCCACATTCTTTCCAACAACGATCTGGAACCCGTGAGAGAGTCGCAGCGCGATCATTTCCCGTATAAGAACACCCCGTGTCTTTGGTGCCTCTATGCCTTCCGAGTCTTCATTTGGAAAGACACGATATGGAGTCTGCAGATAATCCGAAGCAAGCTCACTGGCTGTTGGTAGTTCCTCGGTCGTCAATGGAAGCACTGCAGGGGATTTCAAACTTTTCCACTTGACGACAGCCACATGCGGTGGCCGTGGATACGCGTGTTGCCAACGGCCAAACCAGCTAGTATCTCGCAGTACATCCTTGGGAGTGTTACAAGGGTTGACCGAGCGAACCCAAGGAGATAAAGCTTTGCTTGGTGAGTTGCGCGCAGATGGCTCGCGTGGGCTGTGGCTGAGTTTGATCTCAACCTTGTGATCCCGGTACGAGCCTTCGTTTTGATTACGACCAAGTTCGTGAGCTGGTATCTCTGCTGCAGACGTCGATAATGATCCATGGGTTCCTACGCGCTCTGGTTGCTCTATTTCCTTTGGTGGATTTTTCGGGGGTATCTTGATGGAAATTGGCTTGGAGTGAGGCTGTGAAGTCTTTCCGGGCGAAGGAGGTCTTGAAGGCACATCAATGGCAGTTTGAGTGGACGTTGTTTCTGAAGGACTTAAAGAAGTAATGCTCCTTGAATCAGAGATTGACCCAGCTGGAGTTCTGGATACCACAGCGGGCAACGCACTCGCATGCTCCACATTGATTCCTGTGCTTGCTTGGGCTCTTGGGGGAGTGGCACTTAGACCTCGAAGCGCGAAACTAATAGTCTTGGAAATTCGCGAGGTCTTTGCTGCCGGCGTCTTCTTCAATGCTGGCTTCTTGGGAGACATGCTCTTGATCGAGCCCGGGCGTTTGGGTGTTATCGTTGTAATGGAGTCAATCCTTCGAGGCCCGGGGAGCGAAGACTCATCGTCCTCTGCTGGATTTGTTTCATGATCACGGAGTCGCATAATTGAGCGGGCAGAAAGCCGTTCATGCACTGCAGCACTGGCGGCCTGGACTTCCGTTTCACTAGGTCGCTTTTGCCTGGTGGTCCTGTGTATTTGTCGCTTTTTCGGGGAGAGAGTAAAGAGGTTTTCATCGTATTGGTCCATCCAAGCCATCACAGACTTTCGCGAGTTCTGGTGTTCTTGGGTTTGCGAGTCTGCTGAGTTTGAAGAAGCATTTTGAATGAACGACCCTGGTCGTAGACTGTCACTGTATGGCGCCTTCAATGACGAAGAATTGGCGAAACGGGTCTTCGGGGGAGGACGGCTTAACTGGCCGTATCCTGGCCAGGATGCACGAGGCCTCGCTCCACCACGTCCTTCGGCAAGATATGGGATCGAGATATTTGACTGTTCACTCTCCATGACCCCCATCATTTGAATCTCATACATGCGTACTCGTGGTGTAAATTCCCTGGATGGCCGAGTGACAGTTGACGAAATTGGGGCATTGGGGTCTTTCTTCAGGATTCTTCGAGCCTCTCGGTAGGTTTCAGGGTTCCAGTAGGAAATATCAAGCCAATGTGGAATACCGAAGCTCCACTCTTTAGCCTGAGGAGCCGCACGTTCCCTCATTCTTGTTGCAGACAGATATGAGCTCGGGGAGAGGTAAGATGATCTGCTAACAACACTTGATAGGGAATGATGTATCTCAGGTGAAGGCACGTTCCTTCGAATGTCACCAGGACTAGGTTCTCCTGTTACACCCGATGGCTGCTCCACCGGTTCCTTGTATTTAAACAACGGCACAGAGTGAAGAGGCATGGGACTCAGACAGACCAAGTCAATGGCTATGCCACGATTTGCAAGTGCCTCCGTTGTAGAAGCCAAGGACTCGTACGAGACCTCGAAAACGCCACTACCGGGCGTAATGACGATGATTGAAGTACCAGTGTGAACCATGTCCCGATCGATGTGATCGAAAGCTAAATGGGCAGAGGCAAGATGGATGGCCTCTAAAATATTTCCTCGTAAGGCTGTGCTGGGATGTCCGGCAATGGTTGCCATGTGTGGTTTAGAAGGTATCTTGATGCCACTTCCAGATGCAGCCTCAACGTCATCCGATTTCAGGATTGAGACATCTCGCAAGAAGGTTCTAAATTCCCTTTTGAGCTCGTCAAGTATCGTTGTCCAGTGACCACTTGCCATATCATTGACTACCACGCGATAGAAGTCTCGGGTCGGGTTTTTGTTCGGCCCAGATTTTGTGCTGAGATTCCCAGTGCTGAGTTTAGCTTGGCTGGTGTGAGTGGGCGCATCGTATTCGACTCGAGTGAATAATACAATAGTCACCAGGTGCTTTGCATCAGAATTGGCCCATCTCTTGAAGAGCTCTGGCAAGAAGCCGTTGATAACTCGACTGAACAAGATATCACCGGTGCCTTCGGAATCGAAATCCCACATTTCCCTTGACATCTGAATGAACAGGACATATTTGGCAGACTCGCTTCGGAAAACCGGGATAGTACTTGGAGCAAAGTATCCCGAGAGGCATTTCTTCTCCCGAATGAAGATGTTCTTGACAGTGGCTTTGATGCTTCCCATGAACATGATCTTCTGTCCCTTGTAGACAATCTTATCTGCCAGTTCCGACATGACGAGTCTCCACATGTCAGAGCGGACCAAGTACTGGTCGCGAAATGCGATATCAACATGAGACGCCGCGCATTGTTCGCGGTCTACAATCGACAGGAGAACTTGCGTCCTGTTCTTGAAGCCAAAGATATTGGCGACATTGTTGGTCACAGAAATCTCCAGCTGTGGGTGACGAGCCTTAATTTCGGGTGGGAGGGCTTTCACCACGAATAAACACCGGCTCTGCAAGGGAGTCTTGAATTTCGAGGTGCTGTCCGTCTGAGATGACGAGTTCATTTCGGCGTGACTCTCACGAGTGGATTTTGAAGCAGCCTCGGACTTTAAAGAGTAATTGTTCATGTCGCCAGATGCTCGAACGGGCAGAATCTCGACAACATCCCCAACTTGGACTCCGGATTCGCCGAAAGCCGATGGGTTTAACAAAACCTCTTCACGGGAGAACATTTCATCGTGTACCCACAGCGCACATTGGTGCCGAACCAAACTTGTTGAAGACAGCCTGACCGTTCTCTCGTCCGTGGTTGCATCATGATCATGGTCACGGTGATGAGAGGCCTCCAGCGAATGGGTGGAGCTGCTCTCCAAGCTCGCCGCGCTCACCTGCCGCAGATGCGACCGCCGCATGGGGCCGCGCAAGGACATATTATCTATGCTTGCATATCATTGATTTTGGGCTCAGATATTTCGAATGCTTCTATGATGTCGATCTCAAGGGGAGGTTATCATGAGGCTTGCGGAGATAAATCCAGTCACATGACTTTCATGCCTCAGGCACTACATACATCGCCAACGACCCTTCGTATATTACATATCTTGGTTCAATCAACACAAGCATGGGATGACATTGCATCGCTGTCATTCAATACATAAGACTGAAGATGGCGATAATGGAGTTCTACAGAAATGACGTACTATTTGTATCCCTACTCAGGTAGGTGGAAGACGTGGGAGAATTATTCAATCTCATGTTAGCCCACAAAACTAGCCTTCCGAATAGACGCCTATATGTGAGTTTGCCAATGCTTTTTGATTGTATTGATGACTCGCATGAAACCCCAAGGTGGCCCATAGCTCGTGCTAATGCGATGGGTCAACAAGATCACCTCCAGTGATGTACTACGCTCAAGCGTCCAGTCGGATCAAGATTGTAATCCCTTGGGCCATCGCCTCACTGAACAATTAATTTCGGAAAATAACTTTGCTGGATTTGGCCTCAGGTGTCGAACCCAGGCGTGTCATGAGAGCATCATATTCGATTCCATGCGTGGTTGACCCAAATGTTTGGGCAAGATGAGACAGGGGAGGAAGGGTGGCGAACATTGTTAGTAAAGCCTAATATTAGAGGTATTACTCCAGACATCATGCACATTATTCGCAGAAGTTCAGCAAAATTGCGTTGAAACCTCCCATATTCGTGGCCTTTTCAGAGCCAGTCTAGCCTGTCGAATTTGTGATCAAATCTCTCTAAATCAAATGATAGAGACGGAATGCCAATTTGATAAAAGCAAAGAGGCGAATTCTCCGTCCAAAACAACCTGCATGGAAGATCCATGGAGGAAACGAAGACTTTGAAAGGAACTGCAAAGCTTTAGCCAGTTAGTTTCTTCGAAATCTTGGGACAGGCGAATAGGTCAAACATAAACGGGATCTGGCCAAATCCCGCAGAGACCTTAGTAAGAGAGTAGTGTGTGGGCTCGCACAAACCCCTGTTCCCTCCAGCCTGGAATCTCTTTAAAAATCCCCTTTAAAACCAAAGTCTATTTGCATAACCCCATGGATGTTTCGAGGCGGAAAGTTCCCCAAGGCCAGACTGTTATTGGCCAAAACACCAACGGAATCGATCTCCGGTAGTACACCCGCTCTCGCCTTTGCCCCATCAACCCTTTCTTGGATTTTCTCTTTTCCTGCTAGGATGTCCATCTGCTGCCACAAGAATGTCTGGGTAGTGATGCTGGGGACATGGAATACCCGGAAAAGGCAACAGAGGCCGGTCGGGGTCCTTTTGGAACCTCATCTCTCCCCTTTGCTAACCTTCAGTGGCTAGTCCATCGAGATTTCAAGCCACACTAGCCTGCCATTATCGAGAATGACCATCATCTCGATGAACCAGAGCTGACTGATGAAGATATTTGAAGATTGTGAAAGATGGGCGAAGCCCCAGGCTTCTGGATTGTCGCGCGGACTGATAGACCAGCGGGTCGTGTCATCCTGGAGAACCCTGGAAAACCCAAGCGTATCATAACGGCTGAAACTGCCAACCATGAAATGGAACTACGCCATTTTACTCAGGTGAGACCCCTTTGCCTTGTCCCCTTTTCCTTGTCCGGGTTTGTCGTCGATGCTGATCGTGCTCATTGTGCTGCAGTGCCAACCCTCTCGATGCAATGCAACCAGGTGGCGCGTCAAGCTTTTTCCTTCATAATTGCACAGGCGCCCATCTTCCCGACAAGAGCACCCCGATCTTTATAGCTCACTCTCATGGCCCCGTGGCAGGACTCTATTAGCTCATGCCATATACGCCATGCTCCTGGGTCATTCATCGCAGCTTGCACTGACTTAAACAGCAACAGCACCCTTCACGATTTGGCACCGATTTCTGGACTTTCACCTCCAAGACGATACAAATACCGAATCCTTTGATGAAGTGTTTCTTAGCCATGGGGCCTGTTAAGATATTGTGGACTTGATTCACAACATCTTGCAGGTCACAGGGTAAGTCGAGCAACGCCACCCCGATGCATCACTGAACCCTGGACCCCAGAGGTTAAGCTGAGCCTAGGCCTGAGATCAGACTTGTGTGCGCTAGACTGTCCAGCCATGAAAGCGACCAGTTATCAGAATACGCGCCACATTTCGCCACTTGATCTCAATAGACCGTCAACGGCGCAACATGTCCCTTGATATCCCAAAGCCAGGCCTCTTCTCGGTCTCGATGTGAATATTATGTTCGGGGCATTGGTTGCACTTCTCGTCGCAGATGCCCAGTTGCATTGTGTGGACAGAAACGAAATCATCACATCGAAGATCTTTCGCGCCTGGGATTCGAGCAACTCCAACGAATTCAGATTCTTGGACGGACACTGGCTAGTTGTTGCAAAAAAACCAGTCGTGTCTGATGATATGGATGATGATAATGATGCCGTGACAGATGCGTTCCGCACGTGTCAGTTGACAAAGCACGAGGTCTTGCTCGTCATTTGACACTTTTCAATTTGAACCATCTCATCGAGATAAATTCCACTGCAGATTCTTGTCCTCCATCTGTGTCGTGTTGCGTCCGTGTCGAGGGTGGGATAGGTGTTCGTGTGGGAGTGGCAGGTCATGACCTCGTGAAGACGACCAACCGCGTCAAAAGCTGCGCTGTTGCCGAGATTCATCAGTATTATCGATGTCTCTATGGGAAACGAGCTAACTTACTATCACGCCTTTATGTCAAGGTGGTGTTGCGGGACCTCCGTGACAACTCTGACGATTCTGCAGTTTCAACTCCAGTATGGTCGTCCAGTGGTCGAAAGCCATCAAAATATTCTCAATCAGTGCAACGGCAAGACACTCCGACAGTTGAAACATATATGTGACTGAGTCTGAAGTCTGACCAGAAAGAAGTCTTACCACCATCTTCAACTGAAGAATCCAGCTGTAATGTTGAGCGAAGATACACAGCAGAGCCAGCTCCGAGTAATCTGGCCACTACCTGGCATTGTGAAACAGCAATTCACATTGAAAGCGATGCCGAAGGATGGAAAGGTCTGGGGAAGGTGAGCGAGTAACGAGGCTTCGCGATGAGGCAAACTGGGTGAAAGAAGAACGACGTTATCGAAGATTATTGGGCATTCGGCCCAGCCGTGCTCTGCTTACTTCAAAGATCAGTATTTCCGTGGAGCTGAAAGCACAGCAACGACTTTCAAGATCCTTCAAGGGAGCGGAGACCTAAAACATCAATCTTACCCGACAGCGATCCAAGATTGACCACTCAAACCAGTCTGTTCGACGGAAATGGTTCATCATGTCCCTTGCCAGACTTTCACGCGGTCGAAAAGAGATGAGAGAAGAGAAGATCGGAACTTGAAAGACACGATGTCATGGTTGAAATCCCAGAACACAGCACGAAAGAGGGCTAAGACGAGACGGAACGTGCAACGTCACGGCGACCTCGTCCCCTAATACGAGGACGACTGTTCCGCTACTTTTGCCCGCTTGCAGGTACGCTATTGAACGGATAAACTATCCGATTCTAAATGAGTTCGACCCAGTTGAATCCCCCAACAAGCTGTAAGATAGCCATGGGACGCCATAGGTATATACTACACACTTACTTGCAACTCTCCTTGCATCCATTTCAGTATAGACGGAAAACCCAAGAGAAAACATCAAGAATTTCAGTCAAAAAAATTGAAATGATTTTCTTTGCCTTCTGTGAATATTATCACCGCAGATACTCACATGGGAGCTCTTGATGGGGTGGTGGCAAATATGGACGGGAAAGACATCCACCACACCACAGGTAAGCACTTCCGCCAAACAATCAGAGATGATTCGAGTGTGAAGTATGAGGCCATATTGGCTATGCTGTATTTTTCACAGTACAAGGGGCAACCCCCCCGCTTCGCATTCTCTTAGCGCCCACTAAATTTCCCCTTCCTTATAGCATCTACCCTGACAATGAATGCCAACTTCGGCGCTCCGTCCTATTCCGAACACTCCGAACTGGTGGACGAGTCGGCATTGTTTAATATTGACTGGGCCGTGCCCAATTATGATCTGCCTTCTTCCAGGGCGGCTATCCCTGAAGATTCATTGACAGCCCCAGGCGATCGAGTAAATGCCAAAGTTGCCATTCCCCGAAATGCTCAACGCACCAACTGGACTGCCAGTGGTCGAGTCAGTCGGGCCTGTGAAAACTGTCGCGATCAAAAGGCCAAATGCAGCGGACATCGCCCAGTTTGCCATCGGTGTCGGGATGCCGGCGTTGGGTGTTCTTATGGCGATCGAAAGAAGGAGAAGATGGCAAAGTGCGTGACACCTTGGCCACAGCTCCGGACGCTTCTAATAGAAATAGGCAGTTGAATGATCTGACTTCGCAGGTTAACACGCTCGAATCCTTGCTGCGTGATATCTATCCCAGGCTCGATGTTTCGTCATCCCAGCTAGTGGATCAGACACTGAAGGAAATGAGCTCCCGGACTCCGCTCCCCCAAAAACCCAATCCTGTCGCTCCTAACTTGCCTACCCTCCTGCCAAGCCATATCCAGCAGGTGAACCCTCCCTTGTCCTCTACAGATGCTAGCCAGGCCTTTCCGTTCGGTATTGCAGACTACACAGAAGAAGACTATAACCGCGATGACAAGGTACAGGCCATGGGGTTCGTTGGTGAACACTCGGAGATGGCATGGTTGTACAGACTCAAACGCGACCTCGATCAAGATAGCTCCTCGCCAATCAAGGAGACCCCTGAACGCCCTGCGATTTCCTCCGTGAACTACTTCCAAGACGATTCAGACTTTTCAGTGCCCGATTCTGTCGACCTCACACGCTGGCCTCCGCAACACCTTGCCGACAACCTCGTTGACGCTTACTTTCACGCCGTGCATCCTGCGTTCCCGATCTTTGGCAAGGCCACTTTCCTGAACCAATACCGATCCTTCTACTCGAACCCGAATTCGCGACCTGGCAAGAGATGGCTGGCATTACTGAACTTGGTGTTTGCCATCGCGACGAGGCATTCACTCCTCACCGATCAGCTCCGACCGGACCAGGATGATCACCAGACATTTTTTGCACGGGCCTGGAGCCTGAGTGTGGGCAAGGTCGCACTGTTGGACCACCCCGACCTGCAACAGGTGCAGGTTGAGGGATTGACTGCTTTCTATCTTCTGTCTATTGGACAAGTCAATAGGTTGGATTCTCAGAGATACTATGTATATGCTCAGCGTTCTGATGTGCGATACCATTTCTTAGGTCTTGGAGAATCATTGGGATCGCCATTCGATCGGCGGTGACTATGGGTCTGAATCTTCGGAGTGAGAGCGAGAGCGTCCCACATTTCTCGAAAGAAGTCCGCTACCGGCTATGGTGGGCGCTTTTCATGCTGGATACAGTTCTGAGCGAGATGACCGGTCGTCCTCTAAGTATGGGAGAAATCTTCTGCACGACACCTCTTCCAGTACCATTTGGAGAGGAGGATTTCTGGGATGATCGGGTTGTGCAGCTTATCACCAGTCATGAGACTCGAGGTGCATTCTTTACTTCCTTGCTTTCCGATAGTACCTCGACTCCGCCACAGGATGGTGCGGGTCGCAAGAATTTGATCCCACTGGGATCCAGTCAAACAAAGCGGGAGGTCCGAACACCTCAGGCGATGGTTGAGAGTCAGATACACAGCACTGGTCTAGCACCAAATACTTCCCTATACTTCTTATACGCAGTGGATTTAGCGCATCTCCTACGAGAGGCGATCAACATCCTGTATGCCCCTAGAGCGACACGAATGTCCTGTCGCGAGATCGAAGCCACAATATCTGCATTCAACGACCATGCTGACGCCTGGCTTTCCCATCTACCAGCCGAATTTCATTTCGCAACGCCAGACGCCAATGCAACCCAAAGGTTTGCACATCAGCGTGCCAGCCTCGCCCTCCGATTCTATGCCACTAAGTTGATCATCACACAACCTTCTCTCCGTCTCTACCAGTCTTCAACGGAATCAAAATCCCCAGGGGCAACATGCGACAATATGGCGACGATCTGTGTCCAGGCCGCGTGTCAAATGCTAGACCTCTTGCCCGAGGAGGCAGACAGCTCTTGGCTGTATGGTATCGCTCCGTGGTGGTGTATCCTCCACAACATCATGCAGTCGACGACTATCCTCCTTGTCGAGCTCTTCACTCGCACTCATCTGGGTACACTCAAGGCCACGAGCCTTATCCAACGAGTTCAGAAAGCGACTCGTTGGCTTAATGAGATGTCTGCCAAAGATCCTTCCTCGCAGCGTGCCTGGTTGGTCTGTATGGATATCCTCTCGCGGCATGGCTCGAAGTTTGGCTTTAATGCTGAACGTCTTGAGCCCATTTCTGCGTATGTACGGTCATGATAAATATGCATTGTGGATTTTCGGTTCTGGTTCTGCCCTATTTCGCTAACTATCAGTATCATTCCGTGGTGCATTTCTTTTTCTTTCTGGTTCTTGGGAGAGAGCATTATCCCCGGTGTGGGATACAAGATTGAGTGTCGTGGCCAGGAACAGAAGCTTCATTCATTACACGGTCGAAGATAATATCAGTCGACCTTTATTAGTGACATTTACCCCGGATCAAGGCGTCCGGGTAATAAAAACTGGTTCCACTGCAGCGATTCAACAATCTCAAAGCGCAATATATCCGCAAAACAGCTTGTATATAAGTTTTCCCCTGTATAACCCTAAAATTGCTTCCACTCATGCTGCCTCTCATGCTGAGTATTAACGATATATTGATAAATACGGAGGTAACCTCTTCACAACTCATGACACGTATAAAGATTCTCAGCCTCATTAAAGAAAGCATCAACAGGATGCAACAGCCCAAGATCGATATCCGACTGCGCCAAAAAGTCCTGCATAGTCGGTTCAAGGAACGCCATCTCAGTCGTATACCCGCTGACAGTATCCCTTGCAGGGAAACTATATGGATCGGCCGCTTGGCTGTGGATTGTTTGTCCATGTGTAGCTAGTAATTCATTTGGCGCGGGCATCATTGGTGTTGCAGATGAAGAAGTACCGAGCGGTGTCGGGGCTGTTGGTGGCAAAGTGTGCAGGCGGGAAGGGGTAGCTGTTACCGACGGTATTACCGATGGTATTGTGCCAGCTCGAGACGCAGAGCCAGGCCCAGCCAAGCCTGGTGCAAGACCAGAAGCTTCTGCTTGAGCTGCACTCACACCACCGCCACCATCACTCCCTGCAGCTGCAGCCTTCATTCCCGGTTGAGTAATCCCCTCATTCCGACGCGCATGCGAAATCAACCCCCTAACATCACCGCCAACACTATCAACGCCAATACCCCGGAAAGAATCCAGACAAACCTTAACCTGCTCAAGATTATGATAAAATTCCGCAGCAGCCAAGTTCCCATTCTCAGTCATAGACCTTAACAAATCCAAAGCAGAATCGAAACCCGTCATATCGGCTGGAGTTCCGATTGGGACGAAGCTGGACATTGCCAGGATTAGCGCTGAGGAGAAGAGATAGTGGGCGTGGAAGTAGCCGAATGTTGGCATTGTGCCGTTTATCCAGCGGGTTAGGATCATTGAGTGCGAGTGGCGGGCTGCGTGGATGCAGGCTTCGCTTAGGGTTAGGACTGGTTGGGACACGGATATCGGTGTTGATGCAGATGCAGATGCAGATGCAGATGGGTTCGAATGTTCGGTCTCGGTCTCGGTTTCGGTCTCAGTGTTTGTCATTGTATTTATATGTGTATGTGCATTTGTTCTTGGCCTGGCTGATATGCTGATGTCCTTGCTAAGTGTCATTAGGAGGTGTAGGAGGGTTGGACGTGTCGTGAGGATGATGCATTGGTTGAAAGCCATGTGGAGTGAGACGACGGATTTCTTGCTTGATTCCAGGTCTTCCATGTTGAGCTTTAGAGATTCGGGGAGGGTTTCGACCCAATTCTTTAGAGCTTTAAGCAGTTTCTGCACGCGCTGCAGGAACGTTTCTTGGTATTTGCGTCGGCTGTAGAGTTTTGTTATTGTTTCGCCAACTATTCGGGCTAGCTTGATGTTGGCTGTCATGTAGTCTGTGTCGGAGAGTTCTTCATCGTGGCGCCAGCGTGGGGAGATTGTTGAGGGCATGTCGACGTGAATGTCTTCGTCTAGAATTTGCATTGGGAGGCCCATTTTGGATCCCCACATTCGGTCGAACATGTAGATTGTCCACCAGATTCGAATACGGTGTTGGCGTTCGACTGGATCTATGAGCTGGGATTCTGGGATGTTGTGGTTTAATCCGATTGTTAAACCCATTCGCATGGCGTTTCCGATTAGGATGTATGCAGAGTGCCGCCGGTTGAGATAGTAAGAAAAGAGCGACTTTGAGTATTGTCAGTTGATGGTGCCATTAGCAAAGACGGTATATGTTGAAACATACCAGCAAAAGCAAGGTTTCCAGGTGAGTGATACTTGTTCTCTCAGGCAGAATCTGAACCAAGCCCATAGAGCGAGCAAAGTAAGACGTGCCAGGCACTCTCGAACCAGAATGCGACTCTGATCGAATGGAATATGCCTGCCCAAAGGCGAACAGTGCAAAGAACTTGCACTTGTGAGCGGTGCAATCAAATTCTTTCTTCTGGTATATCTCCTCCAGCTTATCCAATGTTGACTTGCGCATCATAAGGTGATACAAATGCCCAATTTGATGGATTGCGATCCGAACCAGCAACCGCGCATGATGAAGACTCGGCCATTGGATATCGGCTTCATTTGCAGCAGCAATGATCTCTTCATGTTCATATTGTGTTCGGGTAATATGCGGCATAGCACTATTTCCCATTAAGAACCGTCGGAACCGAGTTGCGAACGCTGAACATGCTGCCTCGCCGATGTAGATGGGCGGCGAGGAGGGATCATATCGGTGGAACCAGGCACGATCCCCAATAAGCGGGTTCTGGATGCCTGTTCCATCCGGGGCATCTGCTTGCCGGGAGGGGCCTCTATATTTGTGTTGCGGGTTAGTCTGTTTCTGGACATGGCATGGGTGTAGAGCGATCTACCTCTCTGAACGCATGTAGTCATTGGTCTCGGCCACTTGCGCCGAAGTAACCGATTGTTCCCTAAGTCGTTGGTTCTCTGCGAGGATCTGATCGAGATAGCTAATTATAATGATCTCATTAGCTCATAGTTGAAACAAGGTTCGTGCGCAAGCTTTGATACAAGTGGTGGCTTGCTCGCGTACTTCTCGCTGACTTTAACTTGACGATCCCGAGGCGCATATGCGCATTCATCGGCACATCCTACCGCACAGCATTTACTGCATGGCTTGTCTCCGGAACATTTGATCTTATGTGAGTGGCATCTTTGACAGCTGTTGATAGTGTCAGTGTTCGGTGGCTTCGGCGTGGGGAAATGCAAGATACGCACGCGACAAATTTCCTTTTTTGTGAACATCGGCCTTCCTGTTCTTGTTCAGATGAAGGATCACGTCTTTTTCGCGCCATTTTCGTAAAGGTAAACTTGTAAAGGCAGGAAATGATGTTCCGAAAGCAGTCGGAAGGTTGGGTTCTCTACCGAGGCTTCGGCGGTTGACGGTCTTCGCCGAACCTGACTAATGGGAGATATCCCGAGGTCGGCTCAGGACATTCATCCAGATATTTGCTTACTATGGAGTCAATTTTACGCAAGTATTCTTGCTTCGTAGAATCACAGTCAACAATCTATTCTCTATTATTTGAAATCATAAGTCATGTCTATCGCAATCTATAAATCAACTCTATGTCGATTCATGCGAGGATGCAAAGCTGCAAATGCAAGTCAAAAATGCGTGTCGTTAAGCTTTTGTGTCGAGGTTGAATTTCCTCTCAGACCATCGCTGCATATCAATGCCCCATTTTGTGATGATGAGGACCAAGCATCCGCTAATTATGGCGAAGAAAACACCTAGGATAGTTAGACAAACGTGTTATAAATATGATCTTAGCGAGAAAGACAGAAAGACTTACAGATCGTAAATGTCCATCCAACGCCAATGACACCGATTAATGGCTCAACTGCCGCCGTCGCACCGGCCGCAAAGATATACTGCACGATGTACTTGCAGCTGATGACTTCTGAGCGGTGTTGCGGGATCATCTCTAAAGTTTGTTAGTGAACCATTCCAAACCCAAACAGTTGGATCCTTGATAATTGACTCACCAGCTGAGTATGTGTTCAACCCATTGAAAGCACCCAAAAGTCCCATACCCGCGAAGAAAGCGCTGATAATCGGCACAACCATACCGCCCACCTCTTCCTCCAGAGTCCAACAATAGATCAGAGTGGCAGCTGGGAGAACGCCAAATAGTGTCGCGAGACCACTGTTGAGTCTATCCTGGGGGAGACGCACACCATCCCGTTTAATGATCCATCTCTTAACGGCGCGGTCGGATAGCTTGCCTCCAACAACGCTGCCGATCAAGAAGCCTATACCCGGCGAAAGGTAAAATAGACCACTGGCGAGTGGAGATGTGAGGTTGAATCGTGGGTTGAAGATTGAGCGGACAGAGGTGAGGAGGGCGTATTGGAATGTAGCCAGTAGACCACATGTGAAGCACTGGTATTTGTTAGTAATTGGAGTCGGTAGAGCAGATAAAGTAAACTCACTGCAAGAAACACATTCGGGTAAATGAAATGACGAAAGATGCGCAAAGGATTAAACAGGCCGACAACAGTACAGAATCCCCGGCGCTTGTCGAGGTCCATAACTTGCTTCTTTTCTTGGATACTTGGGACAAATAGCAAAGACAAGATCAGACCGAGCAAGGTCATACCGAATTGCAGCCAGTAGATAATGCGCCACTGTGCAAAAGTGACAATAATACCACCGATACAGGGTCCTAGTCAACGACGGTTAACATCTGCCAACTCTCCAGCAATATAGATCCAACATACCAATAGCAGGACCACTAACAGAGCCAACCATAAAACAGCCAACAGCCGTTCCACGTACAGTCTATATAGATCGTCAACAACAATATAACCCAAAATCCAAACGAAGATAAACAAACCGGCTCGAAGATATCAGCAATAATAGTCTGCCCAGCAACCATAAAAAAAGTGCCCGTAAACCCACTTAAAATCCGCATCGCAATAAACATATGCAAATTAATCGACACGGCCGTCCCAGCCGAGCAAGCACAAAGCACAAGAATGGCGGCATTATAAGCATTCTTGCGCCCAAATAGGTTGGCAATAGGACCCCAAATACATGACGAAAAGCCCATGGCAATCAACACGCCCGCATTAGTGATATTCAGGATCTCCGACGTCGTCGAGAACTCGGTTGCGATCTCTGGTGTTGCGGGTAATAGAGAAGTACTGGAGAAAGTCACGGCGAGGGTCATCCAGCTGACGACGAATAGGATGAGGCATTTTCGCCATGTTTGGATGCCGTAGGAGTTTGAGGGCTGGGGCTTGAGGGCTAATTCGTCTTCTTCTGAGTCGTGAAAAGAGTCGAGTTGCGGGGTGGGTTGTTGTTTTTGGGATTCGAGGTCTTGGTCCGTTTGCATGGTGGGGTATTTTTAAAGGATTTTGATGAGAATAGGTATTTTATTAATGATAGTCGCATGTCTATTATCAGTGAAGTAGTTAACAGGTTTGAGAATGCAGGATTTGGTGGTTCTTTTGTATGAAGGGACCCTCGGCGACTTGGACATGTAGCCGAAGCTCGGATTTTCGCCCGTGGGACTTTTTTCTCCGATGTGGATCGGTTTGACGTTCCGGTCGGCGTGCGTGGCCGATCAATTAGTTGGGTTGCGCTTGTAGTTTTGAGTTATTTAGCGGTCTTGAATAACAAATTAGGATTTATGATGGATTTATACGGGACTTGACAATGGGACGGTTAGCGGGTGGCTGAAAACGGGTACCGCATGCCGAACTGGAGAGGTAGTAACCAGCTTCCTGATGTACAATATATTTCAGAATCATGACTTGTATTTGCGTCTTATTATCATTGATGTATTCAATATCTAGTCGAGATTCTCGAGGAGAAACCGTCGACTTAGATCACTCTGGATCCATTTTTCAATCAGAGACACAGTATCTCCGACAAGATGGTCGTAGTTTGCACCTTGTGGAATAAACATAGACTGATGTGCTGTCACTTCGTCCATGCCCTCCATTAATATTGGGTGCCAGTGAGCATTTCTCTCGTACTTCCAATGATGCGAGGGCAAGAGAATGAACTTGCGAAGTTGATCTTTCGATGTGTCTGAAGACCCCGAGGACACTGAGGTTGTGATGGACATGCTTTCTGACATAGATTGAGCCCCTTTTTGGTCTGTTGAGGTGGATGATACGATACTTCCGGTATCTAATGAGTGCTCCTTTTCAATGTTTGTCTTCTCGTCGGTATTTTCATCATTGGTCCCTTCGACCAGAGTAGAATTCAAAGAAGTGGGCTTCAGTTCTTGTCCTTCAAGCAATGACTCGCTCGTTGATTTCACTCTTTTATCTTCTTCGGAGAGACTTGGTGTCTCTGAAGGTTCTTCTGAAGGGGTCGGCGTTGAATCTTTGTCCTCAACGTCTTCTGATTTCTTTGAAGACTTGGTATTCTTTTTCTTTGGTGGCTTTGGTGGGCGGCCAGTACTTGCGGTGTAGTAATTAACGAACCGAACCCTCTTAGGACTAGACTCAGCAGCCTCCAAATCTGCCAGATGTCGGTACCGCCGACGAAGTTCGGGGTAATTATTGACACAACCTGCATGTTTAAAGGACGACACGACACGGTCAAATATTGATCGTGAGAGGTTGTCCGTGTTCTTGTTGACAAAATGCATTAGGCCCTTGAAGAATCCTCGTTCAACCAGGCGTACATCGTTCATGAATGGAGGGTCGAAATTCGGATTTGAAGTGCCGGGTTTGAAGGCGGGTTCCATGCCTAGCGATTCTTGCGCTCCCGCTAGCTTGTCTTCGGCGGCTGGGTCTTTCTTTGCGACTGAGCCACTGGTGCCAGTTGGAATCACACGGGGGTGTAGCCCCAAAAAGGGGACGTCGAAGTTGACTAGTCCCAGAATGCGATGCTTTGGTTGGTGGTCCCTTGCTTGTAAAAGGGCAACATCGGCTGCCAGGATTCCGCCAAGACTATGTCCCAGTAGGATGACATCCAGGTCATCTGCCTCATGTGGTGATAGCCTGCGATTATCAGCCCATGCACCCTCATCTTTATGACGTGATTACATACCAAGCACTGAATTGTTCCGCTGCAACATGCATCTCACCGTAAGACTTGTATCGAGGATATATGCGAGTGTACACCTCATGAGATTCGCTCAGTAATCCAGTCAACAGATCATGGACGTGTGCCGGCAGGTCATGGAAACTAGCCTCGGAGCCCATGAAGCCATGGATGTATATCAGTAATAGTCGGCGCTTGTCAGTGCCCGATTTAGACCGAGACAGGGACAGCTTGGATAAAGAATGGACGGTATCATTGCAGATCTCGCCCTCCATTGCGGATGGGACATTGACAGGAGTCGTCAAAGTACAGTTAAGTTGACAAGACCAGGTTCTTTGGCACAGCCACCATGCAGGGCGGGGATGGAGACTCCGGAGGTCTGCACGGCCCGCTTGCTTATTAACGTCAGGGCGGATGTTGAGATGCTCTCCACAATGAGTCTGGATGGTTGAGGGTGAGTTGGAAAGAAAGTCGGAGAAATCAGCTTGTAATGAAATCACTTCTCCTTTCTTTTGTCTTAAGCCCAAACTTCGTCACGTGTAGACAGTGAGCATGAGATTCAACTGCAGTTGATATGCTGACTTGTAAGACATCACTCCTGAACGTTGTATCGAAGTCACTTTCCACGTCTCGGAGGTGAAAAGGTGAAGTCTGCATTGCCTATATAGGCAATCAGGAAACCGTGGTTGTTCTTGATGAATGACACCTGTATTATCAGGCCGTATTTTGCGGACTCCCACAACAGTTACTCCACCATCGGCAATCGATCTACACTGACAATTTTTGAAACCATTTAAACAAAACGCATTGCTATATTATCAATCTTGTCATTATGTTCCGAGTGATCCCCATAATCCATATAAATTTACTCTACCCAGCATGAAACCAACCCCACAACCAGGCGAGGCCACTACACGTACAGTAAAAGGCCAGCTAAGCTGACGCGTCCCCATGCGAGCTTTCCCTAGCTCGTACAAAAAGCTCGGCAAAAGAGCTTAGCGAAACTAAAGCTTTGAATGTGGCCCGCCAAGCCATGATACAGTCCAGGGCTGAAAAAACAAGCTCCCGAAAAGAAGGGATAGCAAAGGTGATCTGTCAACACTGACCACAGGTATCAATTCTGCCTTGGATGCCCAATAGCTCCCTCAATGCACAATGGATACCAAGGCAGCACCAGATGTTGAAAAGTCTATTTCCTCTGCGAGACCGTCCCCGGTGGACAGTCACGATGCAGCACTTGCTCATGTCGTCTTAATCCCCCAGCCTAGTACCCACCCCCGGGACCCTCTGGTATACCATCAAACCTGATATACTGTACGCTTTTCAGGTCCAGACTGACTGAGCCCCCTAGAACTGGTCTCAACACCGCAAACATATTATCCTAGCCGTGTTATGCCTCGCCTCTTTCGCCGGCGCTATCGCGCCCTTGTCGGGACAGCTCAATCTGGCCGATCAAGAGAAGTTATACAGCAAAACAAAGATAGAAGAGTCATATGCGGTACGTCACGATCATCAATCCCAGCCCAATGGTCCACATCTAACAAACCCCAGAACTCAGCCGCCCTAGCGGGTATGGCTGCCGGCCCATTCTTCTTCGCCCCAATTGCACACAGGCTAGGCCGCAGCTCTGTAATCTTCTGGTGTGTGCTTTGCACAACAGTATGTCAAATCTGGGGCGCGGTGATGACCCACCCTGAGGACTACATTCCCTACGTGATGTCGCGCCTCTTCGCCGGTTTCTTCGGCGCCGTGCCTACAGTGCTTGGACCGCGTATCGTCACCGACCTATTCTTCCTGCATCAGCGCGGTCGTGCGTTTACTGCTCTGCATATGGCTTTCTTATTCGGGACCATTGCCGGTCCTACGTTCTCCGGATTCGTCTCGGCGCACTCTTTCTTCCCGGTTGAGTTCTGGTGGACCGTTGGAATGCTAGGATTCACGCTCCTTTGCTGTTTCTTCTTCCTCGAAGAGACGGGGTTTGATCGTGTACGCCTTGAAAAGAATCCCGATATCCCGAGCGGGAGAATCGCAAATCGAATTGCGACGTTCTGCCCTGGCAATCGAGTTGTAGGGCCGACGACATGGAAAGAAACGGTATGTTCCAACCCCAAATATGCCCTCAATATCCCATCGCATACCAAACTAAATCCAATCTAACATTTAACCCTACAGGCCAAAATCGGAATAACCCCAATCCTAATAGGCCTCTGCCCAGCAACAATAATAATGGGCATATTCACCCTGATATCCTTCGGCTTCTATGTGGGCGTAAACGCCCTAACACCAGTGTGGCTCCAAAAGCCCGTCAGCGCAGGCGGGTACGGCTTCACGCTCGAACAAAATGCAGCCTTCACATTCAGCCACTGGCTAGGGATCCTCTTCGTTCAATTCTACGGCCACTACCTCAACGACCGATTACCACTATACCTAGCCCGACGATTCGACAAGGGAGTCTGGAAACCCGAGTATAGATTGCACGTGTTGTGGATACCCAGTCTAGTGCTGAATCCAATTGGACTGGGGATCTTTGGGGCGGCATTGCAGTACGGTTTGCATTATATGGTTTTGGCCTTGGGGGTCTTTGTTGTTACTGTTGGGTCGTTGGGAAGTGTGCCTGTTACCGTTAATTATGTTGTTGAGTGTTTCAAGGGTTTCCCTGCGGAGGTGGGGATTGTTGTCGGTGCCTATCGTATTGTTTATGGGTTGACTATTGGGTTTTATATTGATGGGTGGGTTGAGGCTGTTGGAGTTGGTTGGGTTTATGGAATGATGGCTTTTTTTGCAGTTTTTTCGTTCTTTTTTGTTATGTTGCTTATGTGGAAGGGGGAGGTTATTCGGGGGATTAGGTTTGGGGGTCTGGGCTCTAGTGAGGAGGGTGAACTGTTGGTTGGAGAGTAGAGTAGGGCTTGCGGAGGTGGATGGAGGGGGGAGGTACATGGATGATCTTTGGGGCACTGTTTATATTTCGGGGACTTTACATAGTATAGTCATAATGCTAATATCGGATACCTCGGTTATACAGCGGTTTTTACGAAACATGAAGTACATATCGTCGGCGAGAAATCATGATCTGGACTAGTCACCATGATTACAACTGGGTTTTATGGGATGGATAGATGGGACAAAAAAAAGTGTCAAAATCTAGGCCCCGATAGCTCCGAAGCCCTCCTCGCTCTACTGAATATTCCTGTTTTGGATATAACGCAGGACTAGAGCCAGAAGGCAACCGCTATGACGGCCCGACAAATTCTCGGCATACCGAGCTTGATCTACAGCTGGGCGCCGTGTTCGCCGATGTGGGGAATATCTAAATCTATAAACTGATCATGGACTAGTAAGGATAGAGTGCCAGATTAAATGACAGTACAGTATATAACAGGGTTTATAAATGCATATAAGTTACAGTGCCACTGATGTAGTACAACATACTATCTCATACATTGTTTTCGCGCTACTTTGGACTCTCTTTTTCCGCCCTTTTTTCCGCCTATTTCGAGCGCCTCGGATTGTAGTTCTTTAAAACCGGCGGGTTGGTCATGTAGACTATATAAACGTTGGGGGTGTGAAGGGACATATGCGCTATGACTGTATGTACAAGGTTTACACGTGAGAATAAAGATTGATAATATCAACGGTAGAATTTTGAAGTAGTAAGGGGGAAAAATGAACACCTGCTAAGCTGTTTAAAATAGAATTATGTACGACAATGTTACAAAAAAGAAAACACATCCAAGAAATGGCGTTGTGGGAGCAAAAAGGGCTCAACCGACAACTGTCTAAACCAAGTAATATAAATCAAGCTATCAAGACAATCTTACAGCATGATCATGAAGACACCGGAAGCAATGGCAGCAACGGCGTAAGCACCGGCCTGCCAGCTGCCAATGTGAACAGACTGGGGAACGGTGCCGACAGCGATACCAGAGGAGGTAGCACCGCTGCTGGAGCCGGAGCCGGAGGCGGCAGCACCAGAGGAAGCAGCAAGACCACCAGAGACGGCGCCAGTGCCGGCGGAGCCAGCAGCACTCATCTGGGTAGCGCAGGAGCCGCTAGCGGTGGTGGTCTTCTGGGTAGAGGCAGCACCGTTGAAGCCACAAGCGGAGGCACCGGCCTTGGACTTGTTCTTCTTGTAGTACTGGTTCATAGCCCAGGCGAGACGCTGCTTGGTGGAGCACATAGAATAGGCGCCGTAGACACCGGTGGTGGAGTTGGAGTTGACACCGTCCATGACGCCGTCCTCGCCACCGAGGTAGGAGAAGGTGCTGGAGATCAGCTTGGTAGAGATGTCGTCGACTGGGACACACTCCAGGGAGTTGTACATGCACTCGCAGAGGTCAGCGTTGGGCGAGGGGGGGAGCTTGGAGGCGGCGCTCCAGTCGGAGCCGACGGTGGGGCAGCTGCGGCCGACAGTGGTTGAGACGGAGTACTCGCTCATGGCCACGCCGGTGGGGGTGGCAGACTGCATTTGCTTGGAGAGGTTGCTGAAGTCGGGGAGGGTGCTGACGGAGCTGCCGTCGGCTGAGACCAGACCGTACTTGTTGGCTTCCTCGTAGTACATGTAGACGATACCGCCGGACCAGACGTCGTTCATCTTGTCGCCGTAGAGGACGGGGACGTCGGTGAACTTGCGGGGACGCACGTCGTTGCAACCGTACTCGGAGAAGAAGGCGGGCACGGGGTAGTCCTTGAACTCCTCGGTACGCTCGGAGTAGCCGGACGTGGTGAAGCTGGAGTCACCGCACCACTCGTAGATGTTGTAACCGAAGAAGTCGATGGAGTCGGAGGCATCATCGCAGACGAGGTAGTTGGAGACGGCCTCACGGACGGTCTGGTCATCGTCGGTGGCGTAACCGACGGCGAGGGAAGAACGGTAGTTCTTCTGCTTGATGTATGCCTTCATATCACGGACGGCGGCCTTGACGTAGGCCATGGAGTTGGTGTTGGAAACCTTGTTGGAAACCTCATTTCCGGCGAAGAAACCAATGACGTTGGGGTACTTGGCGAAAGCATCGACGACCTGGGAGTAGCGAGTGAAAAGGTCGGCGTTCCAGGTAGGGTTATCGGACACAATGGACTCGGTGGGCGAAGACAGATCGGTGATGAGGTAGATACCGGCAGCGGCGAGAGCGTTCATACACTCGTCGTGGTCCTTGCTGGGGTCGACAGCGTAGGTACGGACGACGTTGGTGCGGAGCTCGGTCAGGTACGGGATATCACGCTTGCAGCTTTCGACGTCGGCGAGAGGGTCGGTGTACTGGGCATCACCGCTGGCACCGTTGCGGGCGGTGTAATCAGGCTGGTAGGCAACACCACGAATGTAGAACTCGGTGCCATTGTTGGCATAGAAAAACTTCTTGCCCTTAATCTCGATGTTGGGGACATCGGCAGCCATGGCCGCTCCCACGATGGAGAGACCAGCAATGATAGATGCCTTCATTGTGTAGTAAAGAATGACAGATACACAGAAGCGAATGTATGAAGAACGAAAGAGAATTGGGGCATGTGGGAGAAGAAAAGGGCTGGAAGGGGTCGCAGTGGAGTAGGGGGTGTACGCATCACCGGGCTGTGCGGAAGTTACAGTACAGTCTATTGGTGTTTATTTGCGTTGTATATTTGTTGTATGTTCCTTTTCCAGGTACAGCAAATCACAGTCAATGATTGGTGTTGATAGTAATGAATAGATTCGATGTACCAAGTCATTGGTCCCTGGTTGACCCTGAGTCCCCACTGGTAATTTTCCCCTGTGGATCATTTCACTGTTTTTGCCACTTCACACTTCAAAACCCCTGAAACATGGTATTCGCTAGTAACTGGACATTGGGGGTCCTTCCAGACCCTGGACCCTGATAGGGTGTGGTGGAGCTATTCCTTTCTCAATTTCGGGACATCCCTTTTTTCCCTTTTTCTTGTTACATGTTCAGTCTGGAATGTGAATCAAAACGATGTTGACCTGAATTGCGTCAGTTCCAAAGCTTGTCTCTCGCCAAGGGATGATCAATGCTTGCCATGATGTCGTTCGGTATGCCTATGTCTGGGCAAGCCTGGGCAGTCTGGGCGGTCTCCATTCATGAAACAAATGTGATCAGGCACATGGCTACTCCCCAAAGTTATGTTCTAGTGTACTCCGTAAATTATACAATGTAACGACTATTGAGAATGTCTCACGATATCGCTTACATGTACTTTGACTGATAGTTAGTCCGTGCTCTACACCTATACCTAGGCCAGTGGGTATTGCGGGCCAAAGCTACAGTCCCCTTTATATCCAATTCATGGCTCTGGGTCCTATCCGAAACATCGAAAACTGTTGCCTATGCCGTCCAAAAAAAGAACACCGTTTGCACTATGAAATTCCGCTCATATATAAGGATTGACATCGACATTTACAGTAACTTCAATCTTCACCTTCCCATTGATCTTCCAAGCTACTGCACATGTATCCATCGATCAAGGTGGGTCGAAATTATCGACACGGAACATCAAAATTTACAGAGGCGATCAGACGGCACAACAGGCAACGTCGATACATTACATGTACATCTCCCCTTGGTGCAGCAATATCTACATGTACACACGGCCCGTCTTTTACCGCTGAGCTCTATCATAAATGCACACCCAGGGTATAGATTTAACCAAGCTACAAAAATAGTATTTCCATACTCCATACTCTAGTCCAGAAGGTCTCTAGATGTGGTTGCCCCTGACTATCAATCACGTCAGAAGCGGGTCCACCTCTCTTGGGAAAGCATATTGGTTTCCCAAGGGGCTTAAGCAGGGCCAACGGTACTCTTCTCTCATGCTTCCTTTTACCAAGCTTTGTGGCGGCGGGATGTAGCTTGTTTATGGAGTCGGTGTGGGTTCTTCGCTTGTTCGCTCTTTCGCTTCTAGGGGTACTCCGTTGTATGCGCCATTTTTCTGGGCTATGGGGCCGCGGGTGAACTTTGGCCTACTGGCTTGCTTTTGTGTACATGTACTGTACCTCGTGGGAAGACATGGGCCACATTTGTTTTGACGATCGCCATTGGGAGAGTTTAGTACATGAAAATCTCTAGGGCTGCCATCGCAACAAGTATCGAATTCTATGGGTATATAAGATGAAGTCTACGCTAGAAACCAGAAGCCAAAGGTGTAAAACATTGGCCATTTTGCAGCAATGGGATGCATGTGCAGGGATTTTAGTGTTTGAGTGGTCGTGGCTAAGAGCACTTGCTTTCCTCTGACGGGTAACTCTACTCACTATGCTAGATCCGATCAACAGATATACCTGTAGAACTGAGGTACAATTGAGAACATACTGTAGGATTGGGAATTCCGGCGCTTATCGTGCATATCTTATGCTTTCACACTTTGATTATAGCAGCATCTTCGTTGCTTTTTAGGTGGGCTTGCACTACATCGAACGCCACGAACATCTTATTCAATGGCATTGACAAGACTTTGAGATTCTAAAGCCACACTGGACACATATAATTCTGAGATCGATCATTCTCAGGCTTGAGGTCACATTGTTCCCTCTTGATCTATCCTTAAGCGGGCTGTGGCAGATCGGTAAGGTGGTGGTAGAGCCATCAGATACGGTGAGAGTAACAACCAGCAATAACCACCCCGAAAACAGCCTATGTCAACCATATGTATATATAATTTGGAGCAAATATAGGTGCTGTTTACGTTTTCAGCGTGTTAATACTCAAATCATAAACAAAAGCAACAATACACCATGGGGCCATTATATATCAATGCGAGAAGAGCACCAAGAGCCCAAACGCCAAAAGCTACCATCCTGACATAACCTGTATTAATTCTTGGATTGCCAAAATATCCTCTCAACAGTTTATTGTCCCTTGGAGTGGGATAATTGGTGCTACGTTTGAAGGTTAACACTATGCTTATTCGTAGTTCGTATAGACCCCCGTACACCTGGGTATGTATATGGAGGCACACGTATCGGCGCAAGCCGTTAGTGGGTAAGCCGTTTCGGATGTAATTGGAACCTGAAATTGAGCCCAGCTCTTTAAGGGTGAGAATCAGCGAAGCGCCTTCTACTTTGGCACACGGTGAAGTATTCAACGTATGAGAACTTCTAGATAAAAAGATACACATAATTCATCAAAGAATGCTTCTGCGAGATGTACACGTAAAGCTGGGGGCAATCAGGGCAGAATCCCAGCAATGCTGACCAGAAAGGAAGCTCAGCCAGCGCTAGAGTAGGCAACCATTTTGTTTAGCCGCAGTGGGCCCCGGATTTCCATAGGGCTGATTTTCTCATCCCTACAGTTTCTCTTCTCTTCTCAATTGCAACAGTCCCAGACGC